GCTGTCCCTCCCTGTGCCCCCCTGGGGGTCCCTGTGTGTCACTGGGCACTGGCACCATCTGTCTGAGCTGGGTGGGTGCTTGTCCCCGTGGAAATGTGACAAGTGGGGCCTTGTTTGGGGACAGAGCCCTGGTGGCTGTCCCAGGGCGTGGCCCCTCCCCGCTGGGGGTCCCAGCCCTGATCCACTCCCTCGGGCTCCGTGCGGTCCCTCGGGGTCCGGCCCTGCCCCTGACCCTGCCCCTGCCCCTGCCCCACCCCCAGACGACAAACAGGTGCTGCAGAACCTGAAGCGAATCCTGGCCAAGGTGCAGGAGATGCGGGACCAGCGGATGTCCCTGGAGCAGCAGCTGCGGGAGATGATCCAGAAGGACGACATCACCAGCTCGCTGGTCACCACCGACCGCTCCGAGATGAAGGTGGGGCTGGGGATGTGCCCGTCCCCCCGCGGGGGCTGCTCCAGCCCCCAGCCCCACGGACCCTCCCCTGTGCCGGCAGAAGCTCTTTGAGGAGCAGCTCAGGAAGTACGACCAGCTGAAGGTGTACCTGGAGCAGAACCTGGCGGCGCAGGAGAACGTGCTCAAGGCCCTGACCGACGCCAACGTCAAGTACGCGGCCGTGCGCAAGGGCCTGGCCGAGGTGGAGCACAAGTGAGTGCGGGGGGCTCAGGGCCCAGCGACAGGGAGGGGCTCACCCCTGGCTTCCCCCGTCCCACCCCTGGGCTGGGAGCCGTGCCCGCGGCTTTGTCCTGCCCCTGTGCATCCCAGTGGGAGCTGGTGGCTCACCCGGGAGCCTGGAGCTGGGACCAACCTTTATACCAGTCATTCATCCCCTCCCTGCCCCTTTCCCAGGTGGAACACCACCGTCCAGACGCTGGTGGCCTCCTACGAGGCCTACGAGGACCTGATGAAGAAGTCCCAGGAGGGGAAGGATTTCTACACGGACCTGGAGGGGAAGGCGGCCAAGCTGCTGGAGCGGGCACGGGCCGTGTGCCAGGCCAGCCAGGCCCAGCGGCAGCAGCTGCTCGAGAGGTGGGTGCTGCCCAGACCTGGGGGGCTGCTGAGACCCCCGGGAGGGGGGAAGGGCCTCGGGGTGCTCTGCGTGGTGGCTCGGGGCTCCCGGTGCCCGTGGAGGGGGGTGGTGGGCAGGCAGTGCCCAGCCCCCCTGAGCCCCACCTGCCCCCCCAGGGAGCTGAAGAAGCAGCCGCCCCCCCGGCCCACGGCCCCCAAGCCCCCCCTGCAGAAGAAGGCGCTGGAGCTGGAGCCCGGGGGCTCCGAGGCCGCAGATTTGGGCTCCCTGGGGCTGCCGGACCTGCCCGAGGAGCTGCGGAGCCTCCCCCCGGAGCTGCTGCCCGGGCCCTTGGCACAGCTGCCCCCCCCGGCACTGGCCGCCCTGGCTGGGGGGCTGCGGCCCCCCGAGCCCTTCGTGCCGCCGGGGGGGGTGGCCAGTGCCCCGCTGCCCCCCCTGGCCCCCACGCCCCCGTTCCCGGGGCACTACCGCCTGCTCGGGCCCCCCGGCCCCTTTCCCCCCGCGGGGGGGGCCCCGGGGCAGCTCCTGCAGCCCTCGGCCCCGGCCGGGCCCGTGCCCAGCTCGGCCCCGGCCCCGCCCCAGCTCTTCCCGGCCGCCCCCCTGATCCGCGCTCCGGGCCAGCCGGCCTTCGGGGGGCCCCACGTGCTGCCCCCGCGCTCGTCCCCCCAGCACGGGGCCCTGCCTGCCCCCGCCTACGGCCTGGGCCAGCCCGGGGGGGCCCCCGGCCCGCTCCGCCCCCCCGGCCCGGGAGCAGCTCCTCTGGGTGCCCAGCCGGGGGTGGGTGGCCCCGAGCCCCCGGGCACCCGCCCGGCCACCACCACGGTGGACAGCGTGCAGGCCCCCATCTCCAGCTGCACCGCCCCTCCGCGGGGACCCCCGGGCCCCTTCCTGCCCCCCCAGCGCCCGGCGGGGCCCCCGGCCCCCTTCCCCTACCCCGCGGGAGGGGTTCAGCCCTTCGTGGCGCCGGCTCAGCACCCCTTCCCCCCGGCACAGCCCCCCCCCACCTTCGCCCCTGCCCAAGCCCCCCAGCAGTTCCCCCCAGGGCCGTTCCTGCCCCCGGGCTCGGCCCAGGCCCCGCTGCCCTTCCAGCCGCCCCCCCGGCCCTCCCTCGCCCCCCCAGCCCAGTTCCCCCAGCAGCCCTTCACCGGTCCCGGGGGGCAGCTGCCCCCCCCCGCCCCCGGGCAGCCCCCGCTGCCCCCCCAGCTCTTCCAGCTCCCGGGGCAGGACCAGCTGCCCCCGCCGGGGCTCGCCCCGCACCCGGGGGCCGTGCCCTTCCCCAGGCCCCCTGCCCAGGGCGGTCCCGCGGCGCTGGGGGGGCTCCAGGCCGTGCCCCCCGGCTCCCCCGCGCTGCCCTTCTGCCCCAGCCCGGCCCCCCCCGGCGCTCAGCTGCCCCCCGGCTCCATGGCCGCCCCCGCCCAGGCGCCCCCGCCCAGCCCCGTGCCGGGCACCGTGATGGTCCAGGGCCCTCTGGTGCCGTCCCCGGCCCCCTCCCCGGTGCCGGCCCTGCCCGTGCAGCCCCCGGCGCCCCGGCCCCCGCCCGCGCTGCCGCCCCCGGGCCCCGGGGACGCGCCGTTCCCGCGGCAGAGCCCCTGCCCCGCGGACCTGCTCTCGTCCAGCCCCGAGAGCCAGCCCGGCGGGGCGGCGGCCGGGGGGCTGCTGCAGCCCACCAAGGCGGGCGCGCAGGAGGGGCAGCGGCCGCGGGCCGTGCAGGTGATCGAGGCGGACCCGTACGCGGAGCCCGAGCGGGTGCAGCGGCTGCGGGCCGAGCTGGAGCGGTTCCGGGCCGCGGCCGAGCGGCTGGAGCGGCCCGTGCCCGGCGGCGGCTCCGAGCTGGACGCGCTCTGGAAGGAGCTGCAGGAGGCCCAGGAGCGGGACGCCCGCCAGCGCTCCATCGCCATCGCCCGCTGCTACTCCATGAAGAACCGGCACCAGGACATCATGCCCTACGACCGCAACCGCGTCGTGCTCTGCTCGGGCAAGGACGACTACATCAACGCCAGCCGCGTGGAGGACCTGTCCCCGTACTGCCCCGCCCTCATCGCCACCCAGGCCCCGCTGCTCGGCACCGCCGCCGACTTCTGGCTCATGATCTACGAGCAGAAGGTCTCCGTGGTCGTCATGTTGGTGTCCGAGCAGGAGCTGGACAAGGTGCGTCCTGTCCCGGGTGAGGGACAGCGGGGGCGGCCGGGGCGGGTTCCCCGGGGATGGGACACCCTGCCCGCTGCCCCTCGCCCTTGTGCTGCACGCGGGTGTCACCGGGGGGCCCGTGGGGGGAGCGGCCCCGGCAGGGTGTCCTGACGCCCGTCCCCCGGCAGAAGGTGCTACGGTACTTCCCGTCGGAGCGGGGCCAGCCCGTGGCTCACGGCCCCCTGACCCTGGTGCTGACCAGCCTGCGGGTGACCCCCACGCACGTGGAGCGGATGCTGACGCTGCAGTACCGCGACCAGAGCCTCAAACGCACCGTGGCCCACCTCCAGTTCACCTCCTGGCCTGAGCTGTACGGAACGGGCGGGCAAGGGGGGCTGGGGGCGTTGCAGGGGAGGGCCTGGGAGGCCTGATCTGCTGGGGGGGCTGTGGGACCAGAGCTCTGGGTGTGGGACGGTGTTTGGGCAGCCCTGACACCTCCTGGGGGGGCTGAGCGCAGGGACTCCCCAGTGAGTGTCCCCCCCAATCCAGGGGCCTGCCCGACAGCAAGGGGAGCCTCCTGCGCTTCATCCAGGAGGTGCACGGGCACTACCTGCACCAGCGCCCGCTCCACACGCCCGTCGTGGTGCACTGCAGGTGAGCGGGGACGGGGCTCTGGGGGTGGGGTGGGGTCCCCCCTCGTCCCTCGGGGTGTCACAGCCGGGGGTCTCTCCACAGCTCCGGCGTGGGTCGCACGGGGGCCTTCTGCCTCCTCTACGCGGCCGTGCAGGAGGTGGAGGCCGGGAAGGGCATCCCGGACCTGCCGCAGCTGGTGAGGCGCATGCGGCAGCAGCGCAAGCACATGCTGCAGGAGAAGGTACCGGGCAGGGCTGCAGCCCCTCGGGGCTGGGGGCAGGGGCTGCAGCCCCCCGGGCTCTCACCGTGTCCCTCTGCCCTGCAGCTGCACCTCAAGTTCTGTTTCGAGGCCGTCCTGCTCCACGTGGAGCAGGTGCTGCTGCGCCACGGCGTGGGGACCCCCGCGCTGCCCAAGCCCCCCAACAGCACCTCACCCAAGGTGGGTACGGGGGGAGTACCGGGGGGGCTGGGGGGGCTCTGCCACCCCTGGGCTCACGGGGCTGCTCTCCCCCAGCTCTACTTCCAGCAGGACCCCCAGGACCTGGTGCTGGGGGGGGACGTTCCCATCAGCTCCATCCAGGCCACCATCGCCAAGCTCAGCATCAAACCGGGGGGGCCCAGCACAGAGCCCGGGGGGAGCTGGGGGGCGGATCCCACCTCCCCTCCGGACCCCACGGATCCTGAGATGCCACCGGTGCTTCCCGACGGCGTCGTGGACGGTGTCGGTGCCCCCCTGCCCGAGCCCCCCGTCCCGGGGCCGCCCCTCCCCGAGGCACAGGGTGACGCCGAGAGCAGCAACCACGTGGGGGAGAGCCCCGAGGGGCCGGGGGGGCCACCAGAGCCCCCCGCCGCCCCCCCTGCCTCCTCCTCCTCCTCGCTGGAGCTGCTGGCGTCGCTCACGCCCGAAGCCTTCAGCCTGGACGCCTCCCTGAAGGGCAAACAGCGCATGAACAAGCAGAACTTCCTGCAGGCACAGCCGGGCGAGGGGCTCCGCGGGCCCCGGCCCAGCGACGACCCCCTGAGCATGCTCGACCCCCTCTGGACACTCAACAAGGCGTGAGGGGGGCGGGGGCCCCCCGGCCCCCCCCAGCTCCACTCTGACTCCAGGTAGAACTGACTTTTTCAGCTCTTTGCTACTAAAATAAAGCGAGTTTATCGGCCGGGCGCTGGTGCTGCTGTGGGCGGGGGGCTGTGCCCCGGGGGGCTCAGCCAGGCTCGGGTTAGTTCCGTTTAATGGGCGTTCTGGCACAGTTATAAAACACGTCGTACAAAAAGCGTCCCCTGTACGGCACAAAGGTACAGCTGGGCGAAGGCCACCCGCGGGGCCGGCCGGGGGGCCCGCCGGGGCTGCAGGGCCCCCGTGCCGGGCCGGCACCGCCTCTACAATCACCGGGGGTCGAGAACAGGCGTCATCGGCGTTCGGGGGCACGGCAGGACGGGCGGGGACCCCCGGCCTGGGGAGGGGCTGCAGCGGGGCCTGTAGTGCAGCGGGGAGGGGAGCGCAGCCCCCGGCCCGCAGAGGGTGGGGGGCTCTGGGGCAGCCCCGTGCCCGGGGTGGTGCCTGCCCATGGTTGGTCCCACTCAGGGGTCCCTCGGTGCTCCCCCCGCCCAGGGGTCCCTCCCCAGCACCTGCAGGAGCGTGGGCGAGGCTCCCGCCCCTCCCAACCTGAGAAAAGCCTCCTCTGGCCCCGCAGCAGGAGGAGGAGGAGGAGGAAGGTGCTATTGCTGCAAACGGGGTGCAGGAGGGACCAGGCAGGGCGGCTGTGCCAGGGTGAGGGGGGTGCTGGCCCCCCGTGCCCCCCTGCCCCAATAAATAATAACTATTTACAGCATATAAATAAATAGGGCAGGGCTGCTGTGGCCGGGGTGGGGCTGGGGGGGCCCTGCCACGCCCTAAGGCACGTGGGGGCTGAGCCACGCCCGGGGGGTCGGTCCCGGCCCTCTCCCCGCTGCCCCCGGGGCTCTCCGGGGGCTGTTCCGTGCCCTGGCAGGTCAGCGCTGGGAGCCACCACCACCGTTCCCCCCTGCCCTACCCTGGGTCCCCCTGTGTCCCTCTGTACCATCCCTGGGAGCCCCCGGGACGGCAGGGAAGGTGCTGGGACAGGGAGAGGAGCAGGAAGGTGGGGCCCTGCCGGGTGTCTGAGGTGGGGAGGCGCCGGAGGCAGGGCCGGAGCGATGGAGCCGCTGTCCCGTCCCCTCGGGCCGAGCCCCCCTCGGTCCCGCCTGCCCCCGCTCCTGCTCAGTCCAACTTCTCGAGCACGGAGGGCACGTAGAGCAGGCTGAGCTCGCTGCCGAAGTTGCAGACGATGGCGGCGTTGTCCAGCACCAGGATCTGCCGCGCCGGCTGCGCCTCGTTGCTCTTGCCCAGGTACACGGTCTGCAGCAGGTCCCCGTAGCCGATGTCCCAGAAGGACACGCAGCCCTGGCCCCCCGTCACCAGCACGCTGTCCGAGATGACGCCCAGGCTGGCGCCACAGCCCAGCTCCTGTGGGGGACGGGCAGGGAGCTGAGCCACGGGCCTGGCATGGGAGAGAGCTGAGCCCTGGCTCTGGGATGGGGAGAGCTGAGCCCTGGGGGTTTGGAATGGGGCAGAGCTCTGCTCCTGGGGAACAAGGGACAGGACAAGAGGAAATGCCCTCAGGTTGTGCCACGGAATGTTTTGGTTGCTATTGGGAAAATTCCTCATGGAAAGGGCTGTCCAGCCCTGGCACAGCTGCCCAGGGCAGGGGTGGAGTCCCATTCCCAGAGGGATTTCAAAGCCCTGTGGATGTGGCACTTGGGGACATGGTCAGTGGTGGCCTTGGCAGTGCTGGGGACAGTTGGACTCGACAGTCTCAGAGGGCTTTTCCAACCCCACCAATTCCCGCTGCCCCGGCTGTCCCTCCCCCGTGCCCCCAGTGCCCACCTGCTGGATGGAGTAGAGCTTGGTGCCCGAGCTGCGGTCCCAGATGCTGATGACGTCGTCCAGGCCGCTGCTGATGACGCAGGACGTGGTGCAGGTCAGGGACGTGACGTCCCCGCGGTGGGCGAACATGTGGCTCACCCGGCTGCCCGTCAGCACGTCCCACAGGCAGATGGCCCCGTCCTGGCCACCGCTCGCCAGCACCATGGTCTGCAGGGACACCGGGCTGGGTCAGGACCCCGAGGGGGGGGACGGTGCCCGGGCTGGCTCTGCACACCAGCGTTCCCAGCTGGCTCTGCACACCAGCGTTCCCAGCTGGCTCTGCACACCAGCGTTCCCAGCTGGCTCTGCACACCAGCGTTCCCAGCTGGCTCTGCACACCACCGTTCCCAGCTGGCTCTGCACACCACCGTTCCCAGCTGGCTCTGCACACCAGCGTTCCCAGCTGGCTCTGCACACCAGCGTTCCCAGCTGGCTCTGCACACCAGCGTTCCCAGCGCTCCCAGGCTGTGGCAGGCCACAGGAATGTGGGATGGAAGCCTGAACTGCCTGCTCGGGGGTTCCCTGCCTGTGTCCCTGTGCTCGAGCAGGCTGGGGGTGACAAACCCCCAAGGCCACCAGGGGCAGAGACACCTGAGTTCATTTACACAGGGCTGGACGGCACAGGGGGGGCTCCCAATCCTCTTTCTGGGGGGTGGGGGCAGACCCTCCTCAGGGGCTCAGGTCCTGTTTCAGCCCTGCTCACCCCCTGGCCTGGCAGTGCAGGAACAGGGGTTCCCTGCTCCAACAGGGCAGGGAGGCAGGAGATCTGCAGGTAAAGGGATCACTGAGCTCACAGTGACCTGGGGGGAAACTCTGGCTCAGCCTGTGAGGACACAGCAAGGGATGGAGGGGTCCAGGTGAGTCCCTCTGGCTGAGCTGGTGGCTCAGGTGTGGGCTCAGGGATGGTCTCAGGGGTGGGTCAGGGATGGTCTCAGGGATGAGCTCAGGGATGGGTCAGGGATGCTCTAGGGATGGTCTCAGTGATGGGTGAGGGATGTTCTCAGGGCTGGGTCAGGAATGCTCTCAGGGATGCTGTCAGGGATGGGTCAGGGATGGTTTCAAGGACGGTCTCAGGATGAGCTCAGGGATGGTCCCCCACCCCCGTACCTGGTCCATGTACACGGCTGTGATGGCTCCCGAGTGGCCCTGCAGGGTGAAGAGGCAGCAGGAGTCCTCCAGCCGGAACACCTGGGGCAGGACAGGCAGGTGAGGGCTCTGGGGCAGCCACTGTGGGTGTGGGTGGTGCCACCTGAGCTCCCCGTGACCCAGCAGATCCACCTGATCCCTGTCCCGGCAGAGCCAGAGCCTGGCAGTGATTCCAGAGGCCTCGGGATGGTGCTGCCAGGGCAGGGGGAGGTCACGGCTGTCGGGAGGTGACAGGGCAGGGCAGGGACGTGCAGGGCTGAAGGGGATGGGGAGAGGAAGGGGGACACCCCGGAACAGAGACCCTGATATTCGTGTTGAGTCACAGCAATCCCCTGCAGCTCCAGGACTGGCAGTGTCTGGAAAGCTGGAAAAGGCCCTGGGGGTGCTGGTGACAGTGGCTGGACATGAGCCCAGGTGGGCAGGAGGGCAGTGGCACCTGACCTGTGTCACCATAGTGTAGCCACAGGCCCAGGGCACTGCTGAGGCACTTCCAGTCCTGGGGGCAGTTCTGGGGGCTCCAGTACAGGACACTGAGGGGCTGGAGCGTGTGCAGGGAAGGGAAGGGAGCTGGGAAGGGGCTGGAGCAGCAGGAGCAGCTGAGGGAGCTGGGGGGGCTCAGCCTGGAGAAAAGGAGGCTCAGGGGGGACCTTCTGGCTCTGCAACCCCCTGACAGGAGGGGGGAACTGGGGGGGGTCGGGCTCTGCTCCCAGGGAACAAGGGACAGGAGGAGAGGGAACGGCCTCAGTTGCAGGTTCAAGTTGGATACAGGGAAGATTCCTTCCTGGGAAGGGCTGTCCAGCCCTGGCACAGCTGCCCAGGGTAGTGGTGGGATTCCCATCCCTGAAGGGATTTCAAAGCCCTGTGGATGTGGCACTTGGGGATGTGGGTCAGTGGTGGCCTTGGCAGTGCTGGGGGAGTGTTGCACTCCATGGTCTCAGAGGCATTTTCCAACCTCTGTAATTCCATGATCCTCTGAAGTCACCCATCCCACAGGGATCCCACACTCAGCTCAGGGTGACACAGGCTCTGTCCTTCCAACCCCACTGGTGCCACATCCGGGCACGGACAGAGCCTGTGGAGCTTCTGGGATGTGCTGGGTTGGCTCCAAGCCCCCTCCCCTCCAAGCTCCCCAGGCTTCCCCTGTGCACAAACAGCTCAGCTGGGCCCCGGCTGAGCCCAGCCCGTGTCCCCATGTCCCCATGTCCCCAGGTCCCCGTGTCCCCGTGTCCCCGTGTCCCACTCACCCTGAGCGTGTGGTCCTGGCTGCCTGTGACGAGCCGTCCGGCCGCCGCCTTCAGCGCCGTGATGGGCTTGTGGTGGGCACAGGCCACGCTGTGGGTGAGCTGGCACAGCACCACGGCCCCCCCGCTCAGCACCGGCGACGATGGCACACTGCCCCGGCCCGGGGCCCCTGCACACACACGGGTGAGGGCACTGCAGGGACCTGGGGCTGCCCCTCAGGGAACTGCAGCTGCAGCTCAGGGCTCATGAACAGCGAGGGGCTCAACAGAGTTATGGAATCCCAGAATGGTTGGGTGGGAAGGGACCTGAAAGATCACCCAGTGCCAGCCCCTGCCACTAACCCAGGTTGCTCCAAGCCCTGTCCAACCTGGCCTTGGACACTTCCAGGGGTGGGGCAGCCACAGCTTCTCCAGGCAACCTTTGCCAGGGCCTGCCCACCCTCCCAGCCAGGAATTCCTTCCCATCTAAATCATCCACTCCAGAACTGAAGGAACCCCTGTGCTCAAAGCAGTTACAGACCTGTGGCTGTGCTGAGGCCCTGGGCTGGGAATGAGTGAAAACTGAGAGAAATAAGTGGGAGAGGAAGGAGGTAAGGGCAGAGCTGACCCTGGGAGCACACTGGAGCCTCCAGCCCCTTGCCTTGGGGAAAACCAGCATGGGGATGGACTCCCTGCACAGGGAACTGCCCCAGAACCCCTCACCTCTCCTCGGCCCCTGGCAGCACAGGGTGCCCTTACTGCTAAAGCTGGAGAGGGTGTGAGAAGAGTCAGCTCCGAAGAGGAAGAGGGAGGAGGAAGAGGGAGGAGCACAGGGCAGTGCAGACACTCCCAGCCCTGCTCACCTCGGAACTGCAGGTGGTTCAGGGCCGCGTGTGTCTCCAGAGAGAAGAAATCCAAGGAGCCGTTCAGGCGGGCAGCCACGATCCTGAGGAGAGATGGGGGTGAGGAGAGGCCCCCCCGGGCCCCCAGACTGGGCAGAGCACAGAGCACCCACTCCTGGGAGGAACTGCACCAGCAGGGCTGGGAGATTACAGAGCTCAGCACCCACTGCCCCATGGCAGCACCTCTGCAACAGCAGCCACAGGAACCAGGGACCCAAAGCTCTCCCAGCCCTGAAACCTTCTGGATATTTTGCTGCTGGGGAAACTGAAGAATGAAGAAGTGGCTGCTGGAGCAGACCTGGAGCCAGAAAAGCTGGTGAGAGGTGGACACAGGGAAGGATATGGCTGGATATAAGGTTGGATCTCAGGAAAAAGTTCCTTTCCCAGAGGGTGGTTGGCACTGACCAGGCTCCCCAGGGCAGTGGGCACGGCCCCAAGGCTGCCAGAGCTCCAGGAGGGTTTGGACAACGCTCTCAGGGACAGAGTGGGACTGCTGAGGTGTCTGTGCAGGGCCAGGGGTGGGACTGGATGACCCTTGTGGGTCCCATCCCACTCAGGACATTCCATGGGTCTGAGGAAGTGACTTCCCAGCTGAGCCTGGAGCTGCTGGAGGTCGGGGCTGGGTCCTGGCCCACCCTGGCAGGGGATCTCCAGCCCTGCCCAGGGAATTACCTGTTGTTGAGGAAGACGAGGGCCGTGATTCCGGACTGTCCTTCCTCGTTGCTGCTGCAGAGGGTGCCCTCGATGGCATCCCACACCTGGGGGAGGAGGGGTCACTGTCACCAGGTAACAGCTCCCCGGGCTGTGCCCCTGGAGCTGTGTGACCTCTACCTTCCTTTTACCGTGTCCCTGCCCCTCCCCTCCCCCTTCCCATCACCCCAGCCCTGCTCTTCCCCTCCCCCTTCCCATCACACCAGCCCTGCCCCTCCCCTCCACCTGTTACCGTATCCCTGCTCTTCCCCTCCACCTTCCCATCACCCCAGCCCTGCTCTTTCCCTCCACCTGTTACCGTATCCCTGCCCCTCCCCTCCACCTTCCCTCCACCCCAGCCCTGCTCCTCACCTCCAGCTTCCCGTTGCTCCGGCCGGCCACGATCAGGTGCCCCTGCAGGTCGAGGCTCCAGACGGAGCTGTCCAGGTCCCCTCCCCAGGCGGGCAGGGGTGCGGATGTCTCGCAGCCCGCGCAGGGCTCGTCCCCCAGGCTCCGGTCCCCGAGGCTGCGCCGGCGGCCGCCCCCGCCCTCGTCGGAGCCGCATCCCGGGGCGCGGCCGCTGCTCCCGCAGAGCCCGGCGGGGCCGAGCGGGGCCGGCAGCCCCGGGAAGGCCGCGCTCCTGCAGCCGGAGCCGCCGTGCTCCTCGTACACCTTCCCCACCAGGCTGCTGAAGTCGTAGCCCGTGTCCTTGTGGCGGCCGCCCACGGCCCGGAGCCGCGGCTCCGACTCGGCCGCCTTCACCTGCTCCGAGAAGTTGGTGTCGATGAGGGACGTGAGGTCGGGCTGGTCGCAGAACAGGGGGGGCTGAGGGGGGCCCAGCAGCCTCTTGAGCTGGTGACTGCTCTCAAAGGAGTCCTCCAGCCCGTTCTTCCTGTCCGGGCTCTGATCCCAGCCTTCCTGGTAGTCGAAGATGCCGCTGCTGTCCCTCCGCAGCCTGGAAGGAGGGATAAAGCTCAGTCATGTCCTGCTGCAGGGCTGCTCCCGGAGCTGCTCCCTCAGCAGCGGGGCCCGAGGAGCCAGCAGAGGTGATCCCTCAGACTGGAGGGATCTCAGGATCCAGCAGAGGTGATCCCTGAGCAGATGGAACCCGAGGATCCAGCGGAGCTACTCCCCCGCAGAGGAGGAGGAGCAGCAGGGGCTCCGTGCCCGTACCTGGGTTTGGGGATGATGGTGGGGCAGCACCTGGGTTTGGGGATGGTACCTGGGTTTGGGGATGGTACCTGGGTTTGGGGATGACAGTGAGGCAGTACCTGGGTTTGGGGATGGTACCTGGGTTTGGGGATGGTACCTGGGTTTGGGGATGACAGTGAGGCAGTACCTGGGTTTGGGGATGGTACCTGGGTTGGGGATGGTACCTGGGTTTGGGGATGGTACCTGGGTTTGGGGATGGTACCTGGGTTTGGGGATGGTACCTGGGTTTGGGGATGACAGTGAGGCAGTACCTGGGTTTGGGGATGGTACCTGGGTTTGGGGATGGTACCTGGGTTTGGGGATGGTACCTGGGTTTGGGGATGACGGTGAGGCAGTCGCCCGTCTGCGCGTCCCACACGCGGATCTGCCCCACCAGGCAGCAGCTGACCAGGAGCATCCCATCACTGGCCAGGCACTCGATGTCCTGCCAAGGAAGGAAGGACAGGCACGGCTGAGTGTGGCCCTGGAGCCCGACCACAGCCTTGTGTGGCTGAGGAATGCAGAGGTGACAGATTTTGTGTCAGAACTGGCTGGTTTAGGAACCGAGGGACACCGAGAACATGGATATCCCTGGAAGTGTCCCAGGCCAGGCCGGACGAGGCAGTAACGGGGACTGCAGCGAGCTCAGGGCGAGTCCCAGGAGGAGGTGGGAAAGCGCTGCAGGAGATTCCGTGCTACGATATCCTTTGACAGTACATTTCTCCCCAAATGTGACGTACCATGAGGTGGCCCCTGAGGACCAGGGGCACGATCTCGGTCTCGGGGGGGGAGTATCCGTAGTCGTCGCAGGGCAGGTCCCCCCTCTTCCTGCGGCCGTGCCCGTTCTGCCCGTAGTTCTTGGGGCAGAACACCCGGTACAGGCAGAAGAGCAGCAGCACCAGGATGATGCCCGAGGCCAGACCCAGAGCAGCCACCCTGGGGGGGACACACAGACACAACGACAAGGACAAGGTGAGAGAAAAGAGATGAGAGATCCAATTTCCAGGTTTGAAAAATCCTGTGCCAGGATGACACCTGTGTTGCTCTAAATGTCCCGGTGTGAGAAAGATTTTAAGCAAATTTGTTGGAAATTAAAGGGGTTTGTAATGGGAAAATGACAATTTCAACAAGATTTGAGGCTTTTCAGTAAGGAGAGAGCAACTAAGACTAAGTGCCCACTGGATGGGGACTGGGATAATCCAAAGTGTGCTCAGCACCTGCAGATTCAGGCAGGGAAGGAAGTTCCTTGCACCAGTTTGATCTGACACCCCATAAATCATTATCAAATGATATCCAGGTGGTGGCTGCCCCATCCCTGGAAGTGTTGAAGGCCAGGTTAGACAGGGCTTGGAGCAACCTGGGCTAGTGGAAGGTGTCCCTGCCCTGGACAGGGGGTTGGAATGAGATGGGCTTTAAGGTCCCTTCCAAACCAAACCAGTCTGGGATTCTCTGAAATCATGGCATTTATACCCAAAATCAGTCTCCCATCCCTGCTCCCCAGTGATAAACAGGCTGGATGCAGAGCCCACTCCTGCCCTCAGCTGATGGGCCCCTGCCAGGGGAGATGAATTCAGCTGTGCCCGGAGTGTCCCAGCCCAGGCTCTGGCACTGGAGCTCCACAGGTACGTGTTGGTCTCCCAGCCCAAAGCAGCCCCGGGGCTGAGGAGGGTCAGAAGGCTGTGACAAGGACATTTTACTTGTAAAGGGTGACATCCTGGTGGCCCTGGAGCTTGGCTGTGTGGTCGGGCTGAGCTCCAGTGTCCGGATCCCCTCTGCTGGAGGCCAGGAAGGGGTGGTAGCGCGAGGCCTCCTGGGGATGTCGCACCTCCAGGGCCTCCTGTGGGTTCAGGTACAGCGTGACAGGGATGGCTGGCAGGATGCTGATGTACCTGAAGGGGGGGAGAGGGGAGAACAGCTCAGGAACAGACACCAGGGACACAGGAATCCCTCCAGGTGACCAGGCAGCCAGGGCAGGGTTTGGGTGCTTTCGGTCAGGAACTCCAGGTGTTCTAAACTGAAGATCTCCTTGGAAATATTCTTCTCCAAAGGTATTTCCCAGGTCTTAACCCTTCAAAGAGCCAACAGTGGGATGAACTCCTGACGAGATCAAACGGATCCCATGGATTTAAGCAAGGATACAACAACCTGGTGCAGTTTCCTGTGCACTGCAGACCAGGAGATCTCCCCAAGAAGGTTCTTCAGCTCAGATGTCTCTTCCTCACATGTACCATCCCCACCACTTACAGGTGATCAGACTATGGAATCACAGGACCACTGAGGTTGGAAAAGCCTCTGAGACCATCGAGTCCAATCATTCCCCAGCACTGCCAAGGCCACCACTGACCCACGTCCCCAAGTGCCACATCCACAGGGCTTTGAAATCCCTCCAGGAATGGGGACTGCACCACCTCCCTGGGCAGCCCCTGCCAGTGCCTGACCAGGCTTCTTTCCGTGAAGTTCTTCCTGATGTCCAACCTGACCCTCCCCTGGCACAGCCTGAGGCTGTTTCCTCTCATCCTGTTCCTTGTTCCCTGGGAGCAGAGCCCGACCCCCCCCAGCTCCACCCTCCTGTCAGGAGTGAGAAGTTTCCCCTGAGTCTCCTCTTATTGTTTTACAAAATCCTAAACTTCACCTCCAGGGTCCAGGAAGACCCCAAGCACGTAAAGCACCCAAGAGCACAGAGAGGAACAACCCTGATTCCCAGAGGAACAGCCCTGGAGAGTCTGGGAGCTCTGCCCCTGCAGGACCTGCTCAGCAGCTCCTCCCAAACACCGCTGGAGTGACCCCGTGGAACCAGTTCTGTGACCCGGGAGGATGAAGGACAGAAGACAGACCAACCCTTGGGGTCGATCCCCCAGTCCCAGTGCCCACGGCATTCCAGCCCACTTGCCTCTTGGCCAGGGTGATGTTGTAGTAGCTGAAGAGGGCTGGCCAGTGCCTGAAGGAAAGCTTCCTCCAGATCTCCTCGTCCTCCGCTCCCCAGGTCACCTCTGCCTCCGTGCCCAGCTCGCCCTGCCCGTTCCCTCTGCCCTCTGCCCCCGGGGCCCAGGGGGGCTGGTTGGGCTCCAGCTGCTGCTCCCGCTGCTGCGTCTGGTTCTCGGGCAGCTGGATGGGCTCCGACGGGAACACCGACAGGTCGAGCTTGGGGTCGCCGGCGGGCAGGACCCCCCCGGGCACGGGCATGGGGGGCAGCCCCGCCTCTCCCAGGGGGCTCTGCTCCGTCACCTGGGATGTGAGGTAGGTGCGGAGGCCGGCGGGGTCGGTGTACACCAGGATCCCGATCCAGATCACCGTCCCGGCCTGCAGGGCGAGCAGAGACACCCCCTCAGTGCCACTGACCCATGGCCCCGCTGGGGGCTGACCCACGGCCCCGCTGGGGGCTGACCCACGGCTCCCCTGGGGGCTGACCCACGGCCCCTCTGGGGGCTGACCCACGGCCCCTCTGGGGGCTGACCCACGGCCCCACTGGGGGCTGACCCACGGCCCTGCTGGGGGCTGACCCATGGCTCCCCTGCGGGCTGACCCACGGCTCCCCTGGGGGCTGACCCACGGCCCTGCTGGGGGCTGACCTACGGCCCCACTGGGGGCTGACCCACGGCTCCCCTGGGGGCTGACCTACGGCCCCACTGGGGGCTGACCCATGGCCCCTCTGGGGGCTGACCCACGGCCCCACTGGGGGCTGACCCACGGCTCCTCTGGGGGCTGACCCACGGCCCCGCTGGGGGCTGACCCACGGCCCCACTGGGGGCTGACCCACGGCTCCCCAGGCACAGGGACACCCACCCCCCCCACGGAGCCTGGCTCCAGCACCAGCCCTCCCGAGGGCTGGGAGCGCTCCCAGCACACCCACAACACGGACACCGCTTGTCCTGACCCGTGTGATGGTCAGAGCCCCAGTCCTGCCCCCAAAACACACAGCAGGGAGGGGACTCCATGCTGGGAGCAGGGACCGGCAGGTCTGACACCCCCAAACAAGCTGGAACGGCTCAGGTTGGGGTTCTGGATCCCCAGGTGTGCAGGACACATGGCAGCAGCTCCAGGACTGGGGGGGATTTAACTGGAACTGCCAGTGGTGGCTGACTGGGAATTCCCCTAATTCCATTAGAAACGTCCAACCCAGACACAGAGGGCCGAGCAGGGGCAGTCACTGGTGTGACCACTGCGGCCACACCTGCAAAAGGCAAAGCCTGAAGCCTCTCATGCAGCAAAAAATATCCCCTAAATGTCTGTACCCCACAGGATCTGCAGGAGCAGACCGCGATTTCTGCCTGTAAAAATCATCCCAAGGCTCAGACAGTGTCCTAAGGGTGCTTATGGAAAGCAGGTTATTTTCCATTCACCGTGGGGCAGCATGAGGCCTGTGGAGGCCTGAGGAGCTGTGGGATGTGGGATCCCCCCGTGGGGATGTGGGATCCCCCTCTGGGCTGTGGTGTCCCCCTGTGGGCTGTGGGATCCCCCCGTGGGGCTGTGGGATCCCCCCATGGGCTGCGGGATCCCCGGGGCTGTGGGATCCCCGTGGGGCTGTGGGATCCCCCCGTGGGCATGTGGGATCCCCCTGTGGGGCTGTGGGATCCCCCCTGTGGGCTGTGAGATCCCCCCTGTGGGCTGTGGGATCCCCCTCTGGGCTGTGGTATCCCCCTGTGGGCTGTGGGATCCCCCTGTGGGCTGTGGGATCCCCGGGGCTGTGGTATCCCCCCGTGGGCTGTGGGATCCCCCCGTGGGGCTGTGGGATCCCCCTGTGGGGCTGTGGGATCCCCCTGTGGGCTGTGGGATCCCCCGGGCTGTGGGATCCCCCTGTGGGCTGTGGGATCCCCCCTGTGGGCTGTGGGATCCCCGGGGCTGTGGGATCCCCCCGTGGGGCTGTGGGATCCCCGGGGCTGTGAGATCCCCCCTGTGGGCTGTGGGATCCCCCCGTGGGGCTGTGGGATCCCCCTGTGGGCTGTGGGATCCCCGGGGCTGTGGGATCCCCCTGTGGGCTGTGGGATCCCCGGGGCTGTGGGATCCCCGGGGCTGTGGGATCCCCCTGTGGGCTGTGAGATCCCCCCCTGGGGCTGAGGGCTCCCCGGGGCTGTAGGTACCATGATGAGGCGCTGGGCCAGGCGGGTGCGTGCGAAGAAGTAGATGAGGCGGAGGCGCTTGGGCAGGCGCAGGTTGCGCAGGGACGAGGGCTGCAGGGTGATGGTGTGCGGGCTGGCGGCGCTCGCCCGCGCGGGGGGGGCCCGGGGGCGGCCCGGCGCCTTCCCCGGGGGCAGGATGGACTCCGGGGGCACCCGCCGGTTCAGGTCGGCCAGCTGGGGAGAGAGGGAGGGAACGGTGAGGGAGGGACCCCGGGGAGGGGCAGGGAACCTCCGGAGAGGTCCCGCAGGGAAATGTCCCAGCACAGATTCTCCCCCCAGCCCTGGCCGTGGTGTGACCATGGCCCTTCCACCACACCTACTGAGAGTCATGGAATCATGGAATGGTTGGGGTTGGAAGGGACCTCAAAGCCCATCCTGTGCCACCCCTGCCATGGGCAGGGACACCTCCCACCAGCCCAGGTTGCTCCAACCTGGCCTTGGACACTTCCAGGGATCCAGGGGCAGCCACAGCTTCTCTGGGCAACCTGTGCCAGGGCCTCCCCACCCTCACAGGGAAGAATTCCTTCCCAATATCCCATCTAACCCCTTTCTCTGTCAGTTTGAAGCCATTCCCCCTCATCCTGTCCCTCCATCCCTTGATAATAGTCTCTCCACCTTTCCTGTCGGTTCCTCCAGGCCCTGGAAGGCCACAATTAGGTCACCCCAAAGCTTCTCTCCAGGCTGAACAATCCCAATTCTCAGCCTTTGCTCCCAGCAGAGCTGCTCCATCCCTCTGATCACCTTGGTGCCTCCCCTGGACTCACTCCAACAGCTCCATGTCCTTCCTGAGGGTGTCTCGTTCCCTCAGGTGTCCTGTCCCCATCCCTGGGAGTGTAACTGGGCAAGCACAGGAACTTTAACAGCTCAGGCCCTCAGGACCAGAGGACACGGCCTCAAGTTGTGCCAGGGGAGGTTTAGATGAGCTATTGGGAAAATTTCTTCCTGGAAAGGGCTGTCCAGCCCTGGCACAGGCTGGAGGCCCCATCCCTGGGGGGATTTACCAGCCACGTGGATGTGGCACCTGGGGACACGGTGGTGACCAAGGTGGTAGTGCTGTTTGATGGTCTGACTTGATGATCTTAAAGGTCTTTTCCAACCTTAATGATTCCATGATCCTCTGATTCTATGGGTTTTTTTCTGTTTGAAGGGTGAAAGTCCCCCAGCACAGCAGGGGAGGAAGCCCAGGCCGGCCCCGTGTCCCTTCCCCACCTCCATCCGTCGGATGTCGATGGACAGCACGGTGGTGAAGAAGAACATCTGCAGGAAGAAGTCGGACACCAGGCCAACCACGGCAAAGAGGCAGAACTCCTGTGGGTGGGAGACACGGATCAGCTCTGACTTCAACCCCGGAACAAGGGAACTCAGCAAAGCCTTGCCCAGAGCCCAGGGCTGGCTGTTCTACTGACAAACCCCAGAGTGACTGAGGGGTTAGGGCTGGGAAGTTTCATTTTGTTCAGATTCTCATTCTTTGCTCTTTTTAGCCACAAACCGTGTGCCTCAGGAGCACCCACGGTGACACTGGGACAGGAGAACAGGGCACTGGGACAGGGAACAGGACACTGGGACAGGGAACAGGACACTGGGACAGGAGAACAGGACACTGGGACAGGGAACAGGACACTGGGACAGGAGAACAGGGCACTGGGACAGGAGAACAGGACACTGGGACAGGGAACAGGACACTGGGACAGGAGAACAGGACACTGGGACAGGGAACAGGACACTGGGACAGGAGAACAGGGCACTGGGACAGGGAACAGGACACTGGGACAGGAGAACAGGACACTGGGACAGGAGAACAGGACACTGGGACAGGGAACAGGACACTGGGACAGGAGAACAGGACACTGGGACAGGGAACAGGACACTGGGACAGGAGAACAGGACACTGGGACAGGAGAACAGGACACTGGGACAGGGAACAGGACACTGCCAGCAGAACAGGGCAGGGGGGCAGGAGAACAGGAAACTGGGACAGGATGTGGCACTTGGGGACGAGGTCAGTGGTGGCCTCGGCATTGCCAGGGATTGGTTGGACTCAGTGGTCTCCGAGGCTTTTCCAAGCCAAGCAGTTCCATGGCTCTGTGCCTCGAGCCCCTGTCCCACTGCCCACACTCACCTGGATGGCCGGGACCAGGGTGAAGTACCCGATGAGGATGATCCCCAGCTCCGTTGCCATGTTCTTCATGATGGACCAGCTCTCGTTGCTCAGCCCTGGAGAAAGGCAGGGACAGGTCAAAGGAGCCTCTTCCCTGGTGCCAGACACGAGCCCAGCAAAGGGAACTGCATTTCCCTTCTTCAGAACCACAGACAACAGGTAAAAAGGGCCTTTCAGGCTAAAATTCCAGAGTGCAAAGGCCCACTGAGGTCTTGGGGCTTGTTTTCCATCTGGGATGCAAAACACCTTTGTGTTTTGTTATTGTTAAAACTAGATGGATTTTTCTGGGCATCACCCTGGGCTCTCTCCTCCCTGATGGTTAGAAACAGCTTTGAAGTTTGCAAGTTCCATTTATCCATGGTTTGGGCACACTCAAATCCTCACTCAGGCACAGAGTGTTTAGAGAATGGAAAAGATAATTTTGTCACAATTCAGGAGAATTTGGTACCACCTGTGGACTGCACTCAGGATATCCCTGACACAAGGACAAGGTGCTCACTATTACACCAGCAGATCCAGCTCTCCCTTACTAATCTGTTTTTAAACTTATTTAACCATGTCTCAGTCCACAACCCCAAAAAGCAGTGCCCACAATGACAGGGTTATGTTATTTCTCGGGATTAAAAACGGGACAAAAAGATGAACCATTCGCATTGTTTTCCCCCGTGGAGCAGAATCAGACCTCTCCCCCTCTCCCAGTCCTTGGGATTCCCCAGTTTTCCCCCCCTGGAGCCTCCCAGAGCAGAGCCCCCACCTTGGGCGATGCGCAGCTTCACTTCCAGGTCCACGGGCGTGGAGACGACGGACTTGGTGAGGACCAGCACGTTCTCCAGGCCAATCACCACCACCAGGTACGGGAAGATCTCCCTGCAGGGAACAGAGGCGGAGCTGAGGGGCAGATCCAGGGTGGAAAGGAGGGAAGAGGCAGCTGGAGCAGCAAACTCAGCCCGGAGTCGAGGCGAGGAGACACCCCCCAGAGCCCAGTCCCTTCTCCCAGGGTCACGCTGGGACGGGGAAAAGGTTTGTGTTTAATCCCCACTTTTGCAAAGCTGCAGGAATTTCTGGAAAGTGGCCCTTGTGGAGCACCACTGCATTAGTGTTGGTGCTTCCCAGGGTGGGGGCAGAGCCCTCACTCTCCAGCACCTGGAACAAGGAGGTGTAAAGAGAGGGGTGGACCTGGAACACTGCAGTGGACTTGGGGGTAATTAGTCATCAGGGAGGGGGGTTGGGAGTGTGTCCCACCTCCACAGGGACCATCTGATAAACCCCAGCTCAGCACCACAGCAAACACAGCTTTCCAACTGGAATTCCCAGGTGAGGAGCAGGGCCAGGGCCTGGCTTGGACACCCTGTGGGCCAAAGTTCCAGCCTGGGGGGCTCTGAGTGATCCCACCCTGGGCAGTGAAGAGACACATGAAGGGATTTCTCAGCTGGGAGGTGGTGGAGCTCTGCTCTCCAGCCACAGCACTGGGAACAACCCCAGCTGTGCTCGTGCTTTGTGCATAAATAACCTAAACTCTGCCAGGGAGAGCCAGGAGAACACCCTGCAGGCAGCACAATAACCTAAACCCTGCCAGGGAGAGCCAGGAGAACACCCTGCAGGAAGGACAATAACCTAAACCCTGCCAGGGAGAGCCAGGAGAACACCCTGCAGGAAGGACAATAACCTAAACCCTGCCAGGGAGAGCCAGGAGAACACCCTGCAGGAAGGACAATAACCTAAACCCTGCCAGGGAGAGCCAGGAGAACACCCTGCAGGAAGGACAATAACCTAAACCCTGCCAGGGAGAGCCAGGAGAACACCCTGCAGGCAGCACAATAACCTAAACCCTGCCAGGGAGAGCCAGGAGAACACCCTGCAGGCAGCACAATAACCTAAACTCTGCCAGGGAGAGCCAGGAGAACACCCTGCAGGCAGCACAATAACCTAAACCCTGCCAGGGGGAGCCAGGAGAACACCCTGCAGGCAGCACCTCGGGACAGGAGACTGCTGTGAGGAAAGGGCTGGAAATCCTCAAACAAAGACAGTGCAGCCACAGCAGGAGGTGTGGGAGATCCTCCTCAGCTCCGGGAAATCAGGTTATGAACAAGACGTTCTCCCAACAATTCCTTCTGCTTTAGGCACACAGAGCCAACTGCTCAGAGGAACCTCCCGGAGGACTGGGCTCTGGCCAGCAGGGAAACATCCCTCGATCCCTGGGGAGCTGTGATGGTGCCTGTGCAGGGCAGTGTGTGACTGATGCCCCAGGAGCACTGACCAGCCGGTCCCACGTGCTCCCACGAGCATCCCCCCGGGAAAGGGGCCGGACATACCCTCCATTGAGCGTGGGGGTGAGGCCAAAGAGGGTGCAGAGCCCCACGGACATGAGCAGGGAGCTGAGCACCGTCACCACTGCAGCCAGAGCCAGGCCCCACTTGGACTTCACCATGTCGATCTTCCCTGGAAAACACAGCACGGATTAGCAGGAACAGCCCAGGGCACCCCCACAATGGAGGAGGGACCCTCGTCCTGACTGACTTCGGGAGGTAACCGAGACCCCACAGCCCCCAGGAAAGGGGAGTTCAGTGTCAGTGCCTGAGGTGCAGCTCCCAGAACCTCCCAGAGCCTCCCAGCACACGGGTGGGACACGGGACAGTGCTGGTTCCCAGCTCCAACCAATCCCAGCCCAGCAGGGTGAAAAAAAGGAACTGAAATGTGGCCAGAGGGGTCTGACCTGTCTGATAATGGATGGAATAATCCGGGGAAAACAGTAATTCCTATGGCATTTAAAAGCTGCCTAAGACAGAAAACACCCCAGAAGTTATCACAGAATGGTTTGGGTGGGAAGGGAGCTTAAGGATTATCTTGTTCCAACCCCCTGCCATGGGCAGGGACACCTTCCACAAGACCAGGACACTTCCAGGGATGGGGAGGTGTATCACAAGGAATAACCCCACACTGGCTAAGGGGACAAATTAGCAGAAAGTGGATAAAAAGGACTATGAACTGTCTCCATGAGAGTCCAGGGTAACATTCCAAGAGCAGCACTGCTGCTGAGACAGGCGGGAATAGCAGTGCCAGAGCCAGGAGTGTCTCATGGGGGCCCTGATGATCTGCAGCCCTGACCCCACAGGCAGCTGGGAGGTGCCCAAGTGCCCCCCTGCCTGCAAGGCCCAGCGTACGTGTGGAGAAGTAGATGTAGGCGAAGAGGATGATGTAGGTGGTGACGAGCGGGATGAGCTCGGCGATGCCGATCTCCTCCTTGAAGTGCACGTGGACCACGCTCTCCTCCCGCAGGGAGCAGTTGGGGCTGGGGTGCAGCAGCTTCAGGCGCGAGCGGAGGCTGCTCAGGAACCTGCACAGGGGGAGAGCAGCAGAGCAGGTCCCTCACACTGCTCCCAGAACCCACACACAACTCCCAGAGCCCAGCAGGAAGCGGCTCCATAGGTTCACTTGGACCAACAGGGCGTGGTTCTCTCCAGTCTCACTCCCAAGGCTGTTCCTGGGTGGCCCAAACTCACAGACCTTGATTCCTGCCAAGATCTGCTGTTCATTCTCTCCAAATCTATTTAAAGCAAAGGCTCATCAACCAGAATCTGGGCCCTGGGGAACAGGACACACCGTGGTCTCAAACACCCCCGGAATTTCCACAGAATCACAGAATTCTGTGTAAAAATGGCTGGGAGAGGTGCCACACGACAGCCCTGGGGGCTGTGGGGTCCTGCAGAGCAGGTCTGGACTCCTGTGCTGCCAATTCCACCCCAGGCATCCCTTGGGGAATTCTGTGCAGCACTGAGTCCTCAGATCCACTCGATCCATGCTGGCTTTGCCAAAGTGCTTTCACCGGTGGAACCAGTGGTTACTGGGAAGCAAACCAGTCTGTGAGCAGGGAACTGGGTCAAACCAGCCCCACTGGACCCTGGATGCCACAGGAATTCCCAGTGGCATCTCTGGATATATTTTTTAATAATATATTTTAATAATAATATATATTTTAATAATATTTTTTAATGAGGAGCTGAGAACTGATCGTATTTTATCTCCTTAAAACACGGCGAGTTTTCTCTCCCAAGCAGCTCCTTCGGAGGATCCAAAGTACTCCGAACCACAGGAGAATGGAGACTAAAGGCAAACCCAGCAGTGGTGAGCGGAGCAGAGAGCCCATTTCCTGGGAGCAGCCCCAGGCCCCAGGGGAGCCGGGCCGTGCCTCACCTGGAGTCGTAGCGCTGCAGCGCCAGGGTGACGGTGTAGGACACCACGCGCTGCCGCTTGGACAGGCTGACCCCGCTGCTCCTCCCGGGCAGCCCGAACAGCAGGTCTGCAAGGACACAGGGACAGCAGTCAGGGCACAGCACGGCAGGGGACAGCAGGGCACGAGGAGAGGGCACACGGGTGTGCCTGGTGAAGAACAGCGGTGGCTGCTCCTATGGAAGCACTTCCCGGTGCTCGGGGACACCAACGGATGGGGGGCAACACCCGGTGCAGGGAGTGGGGATGGAGCATCACAGATATTGTGTCAGGTATTGTGTATCACAATATCTGCATCACAGATATTGTGTCAGCACTGCTGAGGCCCCACCTCCAGTCCCGGGGCAGTGTTGGGTCCCCAGGCACAGGACATTTGAGGGGCTGGACAGGGTGGAGTCCCCATCCCTGGAGGGATTTCAAAGCCCCGGGGATGTGGCACTTGGGGACATGGTCAGTGGTGGCCCTGGCAGTGCTGGGGGAATGGTTGGGCTTGGTGGTCTCAGAGGGCTTTTCCAGCCCCAACAATTCTCTGATTCCATGATTCTCCCTCTATTTCATTTGCAAGTGAGCTCCCACACAGGCTCCAGGTGCTCCATCCTCAGTGTGCTCACACTCTGGATGCTCAAAAATAGCCTTTAAAGCAAACTTACTTCAGGGTTACAGCTCCCTTTTCAGACACGTCCCATCATACATTTTACACTTCCTGACGGGTACAAAGTTCCTTTAAAACCAAAGGACTGAAACAGCATTTAATACACCATTTCCTCTGGCATTATGGAACCTCTAATGATCCCACACATGGTCAGAAGGTTGGTTTTTTTAATTAAGAGAGGAAAAATACGTTTCTGATCTCCATTGTCAGCTCGGGCTGTGTGCAGGGAACCATCAGTGAAGGCCCAGGGGAGCAGGATGAATGCTCATTTATCCCTGACAACGGGGAGTGTGACAGAGGGAAAAGCCAGGCTGGAGCTTGGGTGGAGTGAGAGGAACAAAACAGCTGCTATTTTTACCTGCAGAAAGGAGCCTGACTGAGTGAATTTATTCATCTTCCACATTCTGAGCTCAAACACAGATATAAAATAAGAGCTGTCACAGATTGGGCACCTTCCTTTCAGCTGCTGTGAGTGACAAAATGCGGGACTTGGAGCAATCCAGACGCTGGAATTAGTGAGGATGGAATAACAATGGAATCCGTGGGCAACTCTCACAGCTCCTGTGGCACTGCAGCACCTCACCTTTGAGAGTGGCTGACGTCTGCAAGGTCTTTGGCTCATGCTGGTGGATGGTTTTGAAGATGTCTGGGTCGGCATTGAAGCGCTCCCGGTCGTTCTGCCAGAAGTTCCCTGGAGACAGCAACAGGCAGCCGTGCTCCGGGAGCAGGTTCCGCAGCTTCCTGAGGCCAGGCAGGAGATCTGTGACCTGCAGGCAAAGCTCCTCCAAGCTCCTGACTCCAGAACTGAAAGGCAAACACGGGGGAGTGGGACCCAAACTGCCCTGTGTGTGTTTAACTCTCCCTAAGGAAAGGCAAAGCCGCCGAGATGGACATTCCAGCACCTTCCTCACTGTGTCGCTGCTCTTCTTCCTCACAGCTGAGGACCAGGAGCCTGCTTCTCCCTGGAACTAGGCACAGGCTCCAGAACTCCACCCTCACTCCTCTGGGTGCTGCCTGCCCACACAGCTCTCACTGCTCACCCATCCTCAGTGACGCGATTCCCACTTGCACATTCTCCACTCAACAGAGAAACTGTCTCCCTGGAATTCTTCTTCCAAGTCCCCAAACCCCTCTGCACACCTCTCTCCACACACAGAACGGGATGTGTTACAGGAATCCTGGCCAGCCCTCCTGAAGTGGATCCTCTGAGGTGCCCAGAGTGCTCTAAAACCTTCCAAGGATTCAAAGTCTCACCTGGCTGTGGTGTCCTCCCAGCTCCCCTGCTTTGTGTGGAAAGGAGAACTTCTGAACCTTAGGGCTTCAGAAATCCACAGAGCTGTAACTGGTATGAACTGGAACCTGTGTTTGCTCCCAGACTTCCTTTACCACAGTGACAGAATCCTTATCAACCACTGATCCAAGCAAAACTCAGCCTGGGGTTACAGAAGGCCCTGGTGTGAAGGGTCAGTGACAGAACCAGCTGTTGGACAGACAAGGAGGAGCTGCTGGTCCAGAAGAGACAATTCCCTCCTTGGGACACAGAAACTGGTGGGATCTGCCCAGGAAAGGTGTATTGAGCAGAGGCCAAGTGAAGAACAGAGACCAGTCCTTGCTGGTCACAGGAAGGTGGTTCCAGAGGAGATTGTTTCTATAACTACAAAGAGCAAACACAGAAATCAATCCATGATGATTTGTCTTTGTGAGGGCTCCCTCCAGAACCTGTATCCAGGGGCTGTATGGCAGGACACCTGGAGAAGTCGCAGCTACCAAAAGACAAGACTGGAAAATACACCCACAAAGAGGGTGTTTGTAGGGACAAAAGCTTTAGGAAGAACAATTTCAAGGGATTGATGCAGGGATGCCTCTGGTAGCTCCAGGAAGAGCCAGCTGACCATGTGTAAGGTGACAGATAAGGCCACACAAAAGAAGAAAAGAAACCCTCCTGATGGTTTCCTGGAAAACCCCAGCACTGGGAGACATTCCCAGAAACTGATAAAAGGATTAAAAGGAAGAAACAGAGATAACCCCCCAGGAACTGGACCCTTGGGCCTATTTCATCTGTCTATCAGCCCAAAATTAGTTTACTGACTGCAGCCACTCCAACTGCCTGAAGAGAAAAGTATAAAAAGAGATTGGACCCGAGCAAAAGCTATTCCTTATACACAGACACTCATTTTGCTTTTGCTCCACAGCACTTCAAAATTTTTCCTGATTACTTCGTTGTAAGTTGTTTTTGCTCTATGGTGTGCACGTCAGTTTTTTGCTTTACTTATTCCGTGTCAGTTGTTTTACTTCTCTGTAAGTTGCTTTTGCTTGAGTGTGTGAGCCTACGCTTTGCATTACTGTTATTATTATCACTACACAGTTTGAGTGTGGGTTTTTTGCAGTTAGACCCTACTCCAGACACAGCAAACCCCACAAACTGTCACAAATTTGTATAAATAAAGGTGTTATTTCATGAATTGTTCGAGTGAGTCCCTTTTCAGGTGCTGAAATAACTCATAGGAGGAACCTGCTGAGGGGTTTTCTGACCACTTTTGCTGCAGTCCTTACATAAAAGGTACCAATAATTCCTGTCCTCTGGGGAATCTGTTAAGTGAAGGTGAGACAACAGCAGAATGTTCTGGACATTAAAAGGCTTTGATCTCCTGGGGGACACTGACAGACACTGATAAATTAATACAGGCTGGACAGAAAATTCTTCTTTTCTGCCCCTTTTAAGGTGACAGAAAATGGTACCAGGAAGGTGGGGTGTCAGGAATATTCTTCAGCAAAAATGCAAATTTACCTCTTCCCAAGTGGAGCAAGAGTGCACTGAAATGCTTAAAAAAGCTAAAGGAAAAGTTCTGAAATGCTTGAACCACCTTAAAACTCTTCCTGCAAACCACAAAGAGAAACCACTGCCAGAAAAACAAACTGTTGGAGTCAAACAGCCCCAAAAGTCAATAACTCATCCAGCTATGGGAATCTGGAAAGGGTATATTTGCTGTGACAAAACCACAGAAAACTCTATTTCTAATGAAGGTTAGAATTGCTGTTCTGCACGATGATTCCTGCTCTCCAACAGAGGTGGCAAAAATGCAAAATACAGAGGAACTGGAATTACAATTCCAAGTGTGTTTGGTGCACAACAAAAATCTAAAGATTCACCTGCTTCTAAACTGATCGGTGATGTTGGATATGTGGGTTTGAAATCAGACAGTAAAGTATCAAAGTTATCGTCATCCTGTAAGAGGGAAACGGGAGAAAACCGGAAAACTCCAGTTTCTGAACTGGTGGCTAAAAACAAGTTGTTTAGAACTGAAATGAACAACCTCAAGTTTCCACTTCCCAGGCTGGGAACAAAAGGAGCTGCAGGTAAATGAGGTGTTAAACGCTTAAAAAGAACAAAACCTGCTGCTGTTAAACGACTGTACATTAACGAAACAACTGCCGGGTGTTAAACTCACTGAGGGCAGGGTCTGCCAGGCGACTAAAACCCACCGACAGAACTCGGGAAACAATTCCTGCCGACTCTTCGCTGCAGGCACTTCTCTGCCAAGGCGTTTCTGCAGCAACTCAACAGCTAAAACACAGCGGGCCCTAAAACACGGCGGGTCCCTAAAACACAGCGGGCCCTAAAACACAGCGGGCCCCTAAAACACAGCGGGCCCCTCAAACACAGCGGGCCCCTCAAACACAGCGGGCCCTAAAACACAGCGGTCCTAAAACACAGCGGGCCCCTAAACCACAGCGGGCCCCTCAAACACAGCAGGCCCTAAAACACAGCGGGCCCCTAAAACACAGCGGGCCCCTCAAACACAGCGGGTCCCTAAAACACAGCGGGCCCTAAAACACAGCGGATCCCTAAAACACAGCGGGCCCCTAAAACACAGCGGGCCCCTCAAACACAGCGGGCCCCTCAAACACAGCGGGCCCTAAAACACGGCGGGCCCTAAAACACAGCGGGCCCTAAACCACAGCGGGCCCCTCAAACACAGCGGATCCCTAAAACACAGCGGGCCCCTCAAACACAGCGGGCCCCTCAAACACAGTGGGCCCTAAAACACGGCGGGCCCCTAAAACACGGCGGGCCCCTAAAACACAGCGGTCCTAAAACACAGCGGGCCCTAAACCACAGCGGTCCTAAAACACAGCGGGTCCCTAAACCACAGCGGGCCCCTCAAACACAGCGGGCCCTAAAACACAGCGGGCCCCTAAAACACAGCGGGCCCCTCAAACACAGCGGGTCCTAAAACACAGCGGGCCCCTCAAACACAGCGGGCCCTAAAACACAGCGGCCCTAAAACACAGCGGGTCCTAAAACACAGTGGGCCCCTCAAACACAGCGGATCCCTAAAACACAGCGGGCCCCTAAAACACAGCGGGCCCTAAAACACAGCGGCCCTAAAACACAGCGGGTCCTAAAACACAGTGGGCCCCTCAAACACAGCGGATCCCTAAAACACAGCGGGCCCCTCAAACACAGCGGGCCCTAAAACACAGCGGGCCCTAAAACACAGCGGGCCCTAAAACACAGCGGCCCTAAAACACAGCGGGCCCTAAAACACAGCAGGCCCTAAAACACAGCGGGCCCCTAAAACACAGCAGGCCCCTAAAACACAGCGGGCCCTAAAACACAGCGGGCCCTAAAACACAGCGGGCCCCTCAAACACAGCAGCCCCTCAGGTGTTCCCAAAGAGAGAGGGGTCATCGCTCACTCGGGCTTGGGGAATTCTCCTGTCTGGGAAAAACTGCAAAGAGAAACCCGGGGGTTCCCTTTCGCTGCAGAAAAATGCACCCTGATGTTTTGATTAAACTCTCCAAATGTGACCCCGAATCAGGGGAGGCTGGAATCCAGCCCGTACCGGTGCAGCGGGATGCTGAGCAGCTGCTGAGATGGGCTGCTGAGACGCTGCAGGCACTGGAGTGAACCGAGCAAGTGCTCTCTCTAAAGGGAACTCCCGGCTCCCGGGACAGAGGCAGAGCTGCAAAAAACCCTAAAGGCAACCCGGCTCAAACAGGGACTTTACAAGGTTTTTACAAGGTTTTTACAAGGATCTCCCTCTGATCCCAGGGGAGATCCACCCCCAAACCTGGGCACAAGCTGTAAAATCCAAGTGGCAAACTCTTCGGGAAGCAGCAGCTGGGATTTTGTTCGGATCTCAAAGCCCTCTTTCTGACCAGCCTATTTCTGTTTTCCCTTTCCCAGGAATACCCTCAAAAAGCAGGAAGGGCACTCAGCACAGCTGGGTGACCTCACACCCCCTCTCTGTTCCTGTACCCAGCTGGTTGTCACCTACCACGAAATAAAAGTGTCTGACTGTGCTGAACAACTCGCTGAGTGTTCACCTGGAAGAGAAACCCCTCCGGGCTTGGGGTTTTCCCTTTCCCTCTTTCTCCAGGAATGCAACCCCCCCATGACTGAAGACACTGCCAGCAAACTGCCCCGGAACTCTTTTACCTGGTGGCACATGCACAGAAACCAAGCCAACACTCCATACATTATTTTCTCGGGGTTTTTTAGTGGTTCATTTGTAGTAGGCCGAACTTTCACCTCATCTTTTTACAGGCACAAGCTACGAGCGAGTCAGAACCGCCTGAGCCTGATGAAACATCTAATAATTATTTAGATTATTAGTTTATTAGTTCTCGTAATGTGTTCGTGTTTTCATCGAGAGCCACTTGTTGGAAGACCAACTATTAATAACCAAGTTATATAAACCAAACCATTTTATGTGTTATTAGTTTAAATTTTAATAAGTTCACTTTGTCTTTTCTTTTGTCTTTATTAAATAAAACAATAGTGTGGAAAAACCTTTTACCTTATCAATATATACAACTTTATTTCAATCAATTAAAAATTTAAAAATTCAACCAAATATAACTTGGAAGTAGACACCAAGATTTATGCATATATGAAATTTTGTAAATATGTGTTAACCTTTCCAATTCTTCCTCAGGTAACTACGTTTTTTCTTCTTCCTTCCTTAACCAAAAGGAAAGACAACTATAGAATGCAAATATGACCTGCAAATAAAATATAAAAAAACCTATAACTAATTTTTTTAAAAAAGAAAATACTTATATTCTCCTAAGTACTTTTTATTTTACCTCACTTTCTGTTACCTATGCTAATCAATCATTGTTAACAGAATGTGATAAGAGCAATTTATCCGCTGGAAAAAAAAAAAAAAAGGGAAAACCAAGTTTATTTTAACACAACCTGTGCTTGCATCTTGTTTATAACAGAAACAAGGTATAAAACTATCATTTAATTTTATAAAATTCCTGTGTGACAGGGTGGTCATAAATAAAAAACGTGTACTTCTAAGTATACTTATGCTTCAGCTGCTTTTTATAACCAGAAATGGAGCATCACAAAGAAGAGTGGAAATCCACTCTTTCTGTCCCTAAAAGGAATTAACAGAAACATCATCTCACTAGGATGCTAAATTAAAAATGATGCTCTAAATGCACAAGAACACTCTTACACGTTGTAAACTATACCACAAAAGAAAAACAAATATATGCCTGCTTTTTAAGCACGAATACTGACATAACTTTAAACTATAGCTTTAAACAGAGCCTGGGCCTTCAGTCCCCAGGTGAGTGAAGCTGCTGGTGCAAAGTAATCTCTCCACAATGAGCCAGCTCGCTCCCCACCCCTGCCAGCCTCGTGTGGGGGCAGGTAACATCCCGAGAACAGCACTGGCAGCTCTCAAATAGCCATGTATCAGTCACCAAACCGGTGCAATCACACTGACCTCAGGAAATCAAAACAACCCTCTGCCACTTTCCCTTTTAACTTTGGGAACTAATCGATGGCCTTTAACAAACCTGTTACCAAAATGAGAGAGAACTGGTTAAAAAAATGAACCAAAGACCATCAGCTGCTCACAGATGCACTTGGCAGCATCCAGACAAACACCCCTCTGGCTCTCAGATGTACCAGGAGTACAGCCAGTAACAACTGCCTTCACAAAGGAAAGGGGAAGGAAAAACCACCTCACCCAACCAAACTCAGCAGGTGATTTGGAATAATCCAAGTGATTCAGACAGAAAATGGAATGCTGGTGGTACCCAGGCAGCCTGACCTCTGAGCCCAGCAGCAACACAGGGCTTTGGGACATGGAACACACCCAACCACTGCCTGAAAAGCAAATCACACAGGACTGTGCTCTGCCCTCTACAGCAGAGGATGGACCTGAAAATATGAAAATAAATAACAAACTGTTAATGCTAATATATGTCCTGTACGAGGGCAACAAGGATTTGTTTGTGAAGGTAACACCATTAAAGCCCCAGACATCTGTCCAGACACTGAACAAAATGTCTATAATTTAAGTTAAAATTATTAGGGCAAATTAAAATTTATCCTAATGAAAATTTAAAAAACAGTGCTCATATATATTAATAAAAAATATGCTTCCATAAAACTTTGTGTAATTCAGTGCTTGTAGATAATGTCTTTGCAGATACAAGTAATGGCTCTAATGCTCGTGTTTGTAATTTTGTTAACGTTACAAAACGCAATTTTAATTGCTATCAGTTTTTAGAATCTATTTATATTCTAATTCAGGATTTACAGCCTACCCCCACGAGCATGAATTTCACACCAGTGAAAGGGACTGCTGCAAGATGAGGACTCGAGACAATTACTAAAAGGTGCTCAAGAAAATGGACAAAAAGCTAATTACTGCCTATCACAATGTAGAAGAAATATCCTGTGTGACAAAAGGAGTGCAAAAGGAGGGGGAACACCCCTGGTGAGACACCCTGTCTGGGTGAGACACCCTGTCTGGGTGAGACACCCTGTCTGGGTGAGACACCCTGTCTGGGTGGGCCCCTGCAGCTGCCAGGATCTGCCATCAAATGCTTCATCCTGTTATTACACCGTTGGCATTGACCTCCTTGCTTCTCATCCTAGTGATTGTGTTTATATTAAAGTTTGGGTCATCATGGACCAACCAGCCCATGAGTTCCCTGCACTGACACTGGGCAATGCCCAGGGTGCAAAATCACATCACACAACTCTAACTGAATAGTGTGCAGTGTGAGTGGCTGTAGCCACGGGGTGGGAACTGTAAGGTGATAGATAAGGCCACAGAAAAGAAGGGAAAACCCTCCTGATGGCTTCCTGGAAAAGCCCAGCACCTGGGGAGACATTCCCAGAAACTGAGAGAAGGCTGAAAACCAAGATATGGAGATTTTTTTCTGCCCCTTTTAATGTGACACCACAGAGTGTCCCTGCAGGGATGCTGTGGGTGCAGAGTGACACCAAAGCCCAGGAACTGGGCACACCACAAATGCCAGGTCACTCCTGGTTTTACAGGGGGAGAGCTCAAAGCTCAGCCACCTTGGGCTGAGGAAAACACACCCACGGTGTGTTCCTGCCCAGTCACACTCAGCAACCACAGCTCCTTCTGGGCTTCAACATGAAAACATATAAAACAGAAGATAGATAAAAGAATATAAAACAGAAGATAAAAAGAGGCCTGTTTGTAAATCAAGGAAATCCACTGTGCTCAACTTTGATAGGGACAAAAGCAACCTACAACAAGAACTTCACAATGACTTTCAGAATTTATCTCAAAATCAGATGTTTCCTCAAGTGTCAGAGCCCACCACTGAAATGGTGACCTTACCCCAGGGTTTAGGTCGAAATATTGAGGTGGTTTTCTTCTGGTAATAATAATAATAATAATAATAATAAAAGTAATAATTTTGCCTCCATGTTGCACCACTGCTCATCAAGGGCAATGCCAAGGGGAGATAATGGAAATACAAGGAGAACAAAGGGAGATAAGGAGGGGACGACACAGTTCTGGCAGCAAGTTGTTTCTGCCTTGGACTTGGGAACAGATTCTCACCCATAGGATAATGGGGCAGATGGGCTGGGCACACGGACAGAAGGTCAGGCCAAGGCTGGGGGAGTTGGCAGGGGAGAGGAAAAAGTGAATCTGTGTTTCACAGTAAAAATGGCACTGCTAAAGAATGACCCCCAGAGCAGCAGCTGGGGGCAAGGGATGGGTCACACCGGGCACATCCTGAGGCAGAGAGCCAGGGGGACCCTCAGAAATGAAGCAAAGGAGGTGGGGCAGTGAATCCTCCCTGACTGTGACAGTTGGAGGACAAAGAATGAAGGAAGCTCCTGGCTGGACAGCTGGGGGATGATCAAGGGCTCCAATATCACCACTCCCCCCCATCTGGGCTGTTCTCAGCACCCCCATCCTCACCGAGCACCAAAGGACACTCTGGGAAGCCTCTCTGGCCTTTGACAGCAAACCCAGGCAGGAGCTTGGCCAGGGACCCCATGAAAACTGGAACTCTCAGACAAAACAGTGGATCTCGATGGAAAACTTATTAAAAGGAAAACCAAACCCACCAGGGTAATTTATTGTGCATAAAAGGCATTCTTGGCTTGCCAGGAGAGAACACGAGGGGTCTGTCCTTTAAGTTCCTGACTCCTTGGCTGGGGGAAGCAGAGCAGGTCCCATCTCCTTGGGCCCCAAAGCTTTGGATGCAGCACCACACAGAAAATGCTTTAACTCACAGGAGAGACATAAAATTGTGGTGCAGGAAGAACCAGGTTAACAGGAAAATGTCACAGAGCTGCTGGAAGGGGAGCCCCCAGTGCTGAGGGAAACAAGTGGGATCTCTCACAGGCAGGTCACAGAACCAGGGATGCAACAGGTTGCCCAGAGGAGCTGTGGCTGCCCCTGGATCCCTGGAAGTGTCCAAGGCCAGGTTGGACGGGGCTTGGAGCAGCCTGGGACAGTGGAAGGTGTCCCTGCCCATGGCAGGGGTGGCACTGGATGGGCTCTCAGGTCCCTTCCAACCCAAACCATTCCAGGATTCTGTGATTATTATGTATTTTTATTAGTAAGTTGTGATAAGACCCAGGGACGTCTGCCAATGACACAAAATCCAGGAACACTGTGGATTCAGAAAAGGAACAGAGGCTCTGGAGTGGAGGATGTGAGGGCTGGGACAAATTTAATCCCCTTTCTTTAAATAGTTCCTGCTGTGAGGTGGGACCTGGTGGGCTGGAAGGGACAGAGGGACACAGGGGTGGTGATAAATCCCCTCCTAATGGGAAAAAGGGCCCTGTGATCTCCCTGTGTGATCAGGAAAGGGAAATACCACACAAGTGAGACCCTGAATCCGTGCACGGCTCTGCTCTCCCACCTCCAGGAATGCCACAGCAGCAGTGCCAAGGGGAGGGCCCAGGATGGCACATGGAATACTGAGCATCTCACCAGTGAGCCAGGAGTTTTATGTTTGGCTTTACAGCCACAGGTAGGGAGTGGGGAGTGGGAGTTCTCCCTGGAATTGTCTGGAAGCAGAGGAAAATCACTGTTGTAGGATAAACATCCTGCTGTGACAGGATAAAACCAAGCAGGTACAAACTGGTCCTAATAACAGCTGAAGGGAGAGTCAGGAGAAGGTTCCTGCCCACCTGGAATTCCCAGGAGCACGGCAGGGGCACAGGAGCTCCCTGTGATTCACACCTGGTTGGTTATGAAGGAATTCTGTGACACTGAAATGGCTCTAACAGGTATCACCTTGGAGGCCCCATCCAGACTGTGACCAGAAGATTCCTGAGGATTATCAGTGACTTATCCAGAGGACAGGGAAGTTCTCTGGCACAAATGGGAACTGTTCTGTGTGAGGATGGATCCCACATCCCTTGTCAGCACTGATCCCTCATTTTCCTTTAATTTTGAGTGTCACCAACTCGAAGCTCACCCTTGGACCCAGAGGCAGTGGTTTACAGCCAGGTGGGTCCCCGGGCCTTACCTGTCCCTCAGGGCGTGGTTCCTGATCTCCTCCACCAGCTGGAAGACGCGGGACAGCGGGGCCCGGAACACATCCACGGCCAGGAAGTTCTTCTGCCACGGGGACACGGTGGCTTTCACAAAGATCTGCTGGATGTAGGCCACGGGAGCACCCACGTACTGCGGGGGGACAGGGGCACGGTGAGGCTCCCGGGCACGGGGAAGCTCCCAGCAGGACCAGGCACAGCCTGGCACCTCTCGGGAAGGGCTGTGCCAGGCTCTGTTTGCCCTTCCCTAAGCAGAGGTGGAACGTCACAGGACCAACAGAGCAGGAACAAAAAGGGGGGTTCACCAAGAGGCAAAATGCCACTGATGGTTCTGGCAGCAGCCTGGGGCACCTCTGTGGGAGGCAGGGGCTGCCATTCCTGCTGGAGTTGGTCCCTGAAGGGCAGGCAGGAGCAGGGACTCACTGCCTCTCACAGACACCTCACGGTGCTGCAGATCCCCCCAGCCTGTGCTGGTGGGTGGGACTGGATGATCTTGGAGGTCTTTTCCAGCCTCAGTGGCTCTGTGATTCCGTGTGAACCCGCCCTGTCCCTCACAGTGGCAGAGGACACACGAGCAGCAACCAGCAGGTTCCTCACGGAGTCACTGCCAGGCCGCTCCCTTGGACACTCCAGGGACGGGGCAGCACAGCCTCCCTGGGCCACAGAACTGCTCCCAGTGAGGCTCAAATAGCACAGCAGGGCCGTTCCCCTCAGCCCCAGAACTGCTCCCAGTGAGGCTCAAATAGCCCAGCAGGGCTGTTCCCCCCCCAGCCCCAGAACTGCTCCCAGTGAGGCTCAGGGAGCACAGCAGGGCCATTCCCCCAGCCCCAGAACTGCTCCCAGTGAGGCTCAAATAGCACAGCAGGGCCGTTCCCCTCAGCCCCAGCACTGCTCCCAGTGAGGCTCAGGGAGCACAGCAGGGCTGTTCCCCCAGCCCCAGCACTGCTCCCAGTGAGGCTCAGGGAGCACAGCAGGGCTGTTCCCCCAGCCCCAGAGCTGCTCCCAGTGAGGCCCCAGCAGCCCAGTAGGGCCGTTCCCCCAGCCCCAGCACTCACCCAGTCGGGTCTCTCGGCCGGGTCCCCGTGTGGGGCCGGGCCGGGCGCGGGGGGAGCGTAATCCTTCACCGGGGTGCTGAACTCCACCGGGCCCGTCCCCGGCAGCGGCAGCTTCAGCAGCGGGTAACTGGGGAGAGAGCAGGACACGGCAGAGTTGGGGCTTTGGAGGGACTCTGTGAGACAGAAGAGCCCAAAACACGAGCGGGCCCACGCCAGTGCAGGCCCAGCTGTGCGGGACAGGGCACAGGGCGAGAGGGTTAAGGTTTCACGGGAACTGAGCGGTGTCCTGTCCCAACACAGGAGTCCTTCCCCATTGGAAAGGGATGACTAAAAGTCCTGGAAGAGGAATAAGACAAATTCCTCCACCACCTCAAAGTTAGTCGTGCTAAAAACACTGAGCGTGGCCATGGCTCAGTTATTGCAAATCCTGCACAAACCCAAGACATTCAGCGCTTTCCAGGGGCCGCCTCCCTGCCCCAAACCCTTTATAATCCTCTCATTTTCCTCACTTGGATTGAAAACATTTCCAAAACTTGTCACTAATTTCATTTGTCCTCAAAGCACTTTTAAAGGCAGCAACGAGAAACAGCTAAAAATACTGATCTTCTTGCTCCTTTGCCCCCTAACCTTCGGTTGAGCAGCTGTCCCACAACAAAGGCTTGAAACTACTCAGAAGTTGAGAAACCGGTGTTTCAGAGAGTTTAGAACGGGTTTTGTAACTCCAGAGGTTCTCAAAAGTGGTTAAAAGCAAATCAGGAGTGAAGTGGTGGGACAAGCAGAGCTGCCAATACTCCCAATACCTATCGATGGGCTGGGACTGTCAGCACTGAAAGGAACCAGAGAACAACCTGGGTCTTTTCGTGGCCTTACAACTCCTGATACATTTTCCTGTTTATAGGTGAATTTTCTGGCAGTATTTCCAGAACAAATATAAAGGCCTTGGAATTGTTTTCATGCAATGCTCTGCCCACTTCATCAGGGCTCAGTTTGGATCATCAGAGGCCAGGGAGGAACAAGCAACGAGGCCTCAGAGTGAACAACAAACAGCCAAAAAACCCCAATGAAATCAGGGGCAAAGCTTGTCAGATTTGCTTTTTATTAGTCTGACAGAAACACAACATCTACTTATTATCATTTCCTTATGGAACGGGAGGGAAGAGAAAAAGGAATAATAAAATACCAAAATCAAATCAAGGGATAAAACAAAGCACAGGGACTGACCAGGCTGAGGGGGAATGATTTTTTCCCTAAATGATTTCGATGCCAGGACAGGACATCCCAGCGTGTTGTTGGGCACGTGGACAAAGAAAAAGCTGAACCTGTTTTTTATTATAATCCCCATTTTCAGAGAAATGACCCACAGGAAACCCACGTCTAAAAGATTTGAACTGAAGGTTAAACCAGCCCCTGTTGTCTGTACACAGTTGTGTGTAGCCACTACAGCCCTTACTGCAACACCTGGACTACTCATGGCACAGATCCCAGGAGAGCTCAGTTATTGGGATTCCTGTTCTTAGGATTTGGGAGTTGGACCAGCTGATCTCCTGAAGTCCCTTCCAACTCCAACCATTCTGGGACTCTGGGATCTAACAGAGATGACAGGGAAGCTCAGGAAGAAGTTCTGGGTTTGAGAAAAGCTCCTTTCAGATGCTCATGTCACCGTGCACCTGAAACCCTTTGGAAAACCCATCATAAAGGACAAACGGCTCATGGAACAAGCTGGAATTGGTGAACTGAAGTGAGAGTGCATTTTAGTCACCAAGCACAAGGCAGGTCTGAGCAAAAACGCTCCTCCAGCTCCTTTACACATTCCCAGGAGGGCTCAGGGGGCCAGGATGGAGCAGGGCCAGGTGAGCCCCAGGAAACCCCACACTGGCATGTTCCTCCTTCCCAGAGCTCCAGCACCCAGAGCAGACAGGGAGGATGGAGGGGAGCAGGGGGCTGCCAGGTCCCAGGGAATACATGGAATTAAAGCAGCTCCCAGCTCTGCTGGCTCACTGCAGGACAAGCTGTGGGCCTGTCTGCAGCCTCAGCTCTCACAGGGACAGCCCAGCCTGGAATCCCACTGCTGAGGAGAGGGGGAATCTGGTAACATTCCCTCTGCCAGAGGCTTGGGAACGTCAATATCTGGCAGCAACAGCTCCTTTCCAGCCTTGGCAGGTGCATCAACAGGCCCTGTTTCTGAATAAGTGACGGTGGCTTTGCCCCGTTTCCCACTGACAGGGCCCCAGAACTCTGCCCTGGGAAAGGAGAACTCCCCTTTCCTGTGCAGCAGAACAGAGGCCTCATCACACCCCCCCTGCTCCAGCAGCATCAGGAAATCCCAGGGGAGACTGTTCTGAGGGGATCCAGAACATGAGGAGTCTGAGGGCAACTCAGCTCCTCTGGTTCCCCAAACGGTGCAAAACTGTGAGAGTGAAATGTTCTTCCAGCAATAAATAAATAAATAAATATACACCACGTCCCCCAGGGGCTCTGGGTCCAGCCAGTTCTGCAGTTCTTTAGGAGCAGAACTTCCCTTTTCAGTCAAACAACAAACACCTGCAGAGCCTGAGCTGTTTAACTCCCCTGAACCTGCTGCACAGGCTCCTGGCTCATGTTCAACTCCACTGCACCCAGGAGCTGTTCTTCAGAGAAGAAGAAAGGCATCTCAAATTCACCCTGATGGCCACATTTAGAGGCATCACCCTGGGCTGGCAGGAGGAACCACTGCTGTCACACAGGGTCAGAGGCACTCCCATTTTAGGGAAAAAAGGCAGATCCCAAAGCAGATCCGTGCAAAGGGGATGAGGAAAATAAGTGTCACCTACAAAGGATTTAGAGTAAAACAAAAAAACCTTCCCTCTGAAGTGGAGACTGACTGGGATTTTCAGACTACAGAGTAAGAGTGAGTCGCAGGAATTTGTGCTTTGGATATTACTTTATTGTCAAACCCAGAGCCATCATGTCTTGTCTATCAGTGACATTAAAAACAGGGTCCCCTCCAAGGCTGAAGACAAACACGTTCCACACCAGAACAGCCTCTGTGGTGACTGTGCCAGGTGACCCTCACTCTGCCCTCCCCAGGCAGGAGGAACCCCTGCATGTCACTGCTGTCACCCTGAGCCCAGAACTGAACCTGGATACAGGGGATTTATTCTGGACCACGGGAGTTATTTCAGCTTCTAAAAACCTTCTCTGCACACGAGGGTGGTCGGGTTTGACTGAGGTGAGGGGGAGGAAAACAACAACTGAGATCATTTCCTCTGCAGCAGAATTCCACAAGCTCTCCTTGATCCCAGAAGGATCAAGAGGACTGGTTCACCTCTATCCCTTTGAGGAATTCAGGATGCAAGATCCACTCCTGTTTGCTGGAATGTCTTTACTAACCACATTTCAGGCTGAGGAATAAAGAACAGATCCCTTTTGCTCTCTTCCCTTCTCTTCCCACCCACGTCTCCGGGGACAGGGACGGACCTTCTCAGCAATTCTGAGGATGTTTCCAGCTCCTTGCCTGTTCACAGAAGTCAGGATGAGCCCCCTGGATCACTGGGTATCTTCTTTCCTCTTTAGAAAGACCTGCCCAAGGTCAGGCTTAGGCCTTGTTGCTCCCTCCAGCTCCCTGACAGGAGGGGGGAGCCGGGGGGGTCGGGCTCTGCTCCCAGGGAACAGGGACAGGAGGAGAGGGAACGGCCTCAGGCTGTGCCAGGGGAGGCTCAGGTTGGATATTGGGGAAATTTCTTCCCTGAAACAGCTGCCCAGCCCTGGCACAGCTGCCCAGGGCAGGGGTGGAGTCCCATCCCTGGAGGGATTTCAAAGCCCTGTGGATGTGGCACTTGGGGACATGGGTTAGTGGTGGCCTTGGCAGTGCTGGGGCATGGTTGGACTCGACGGTCTGAGAGGGCTTTTCCAACCTTCAGGATTCAGTGATTCCATGATTTTGTGTTCCCTGCTCTGTGCTGGGGGCTCTGACCAGCCAGGCTGCACAGCAACGCTGCCAAAAGGAGCTTCTGTTCCAAAGCTGGGCCTTGATCTTCCCCTGCCAGCTTCTTTCTCCCGATTCCAGCTCGTTTCTCACCCATTTTTGCAGAGGGGTGGCCGAGGTGAATCAGTGAGATCCATCCCAGGAAAACACAGCATTTCCCAGGAGCACAAATCATCCAATCCCAGCAGTAAATCCATGCCAAGGACCAGTGCTGGGTCCCCAGCACGAGGCAAGCACAGATGTGACACTGTATGGCCACCAGAGAGGCCCTGTTCAGGCCAACAGAGCTGCCCTGGGGGTGCCCATCCCACAGCTCCCTTGGGAACCCCCCTGCCCAGGGATCAGTGTCCACCCAGGCACGGAGCCAAGCCCACACACAGGGGATCATCCCACACCCAGCAAACAGGAGGGAGGCACCTCGGACTGCCAGGGATGTTCTGCAAGTGCTGGATGCAGAGAGCAGCCCCTGGATTGAGCCCTGGCCAGAAAATGCCCCAATCACAGAGGACACCAAGGAGAAATCCAACTCCCTTGGGACGCAGCCTGGTTGCAACGGGACATAATCAGTTCTATTTCTCGCTTTAAAGAGATCAACAATATGTGGACTGCAGCTGCAAAGCTACCTGGCCAAGAGAAGAGTTCTTCCCAAATCCCTCAGAAGCGTGGATCTGTGCTCCCTTCAGCACCACTTCCCTTCTCAGCTTGGAAACACCACAGCAAGTGGAAGGAAGGAGGGGTGGGGGGAAAGGGCACGCTCCAAACACCTTGATAAAGTAACAGCACCCTGGGACACTTCCAGGGATCCAGGGGCAGCCACAGCTTCTCTGGGCAGCCTGTGCCAGGGTCTGCCCACCCTCCCAGCCAGGAATCTCTTCCTGATACAGGAAATAGGTGCAGCTACAGGAGACAGATGAAGTTTGTGGCACCATCCACCCTAAGAGGAAGACTTGAAGACCTCAACCCCAAACTCAGCTTCCCACACCCATTTCAGTGAGCTGTGCAGAGACAGCCTGCCAGAGCTGGCTCCTGCCAGAGCTGACTCCTGCCAGAGCTGACTCCTGCCAGAGCTGGCTCCTGCCAGAGCTGGCTCCTGCCAGAGCTGGCTCTCACCACACTGACGTGCTCAGGGGTAGAAGGGCCCCGCTCCAGAACAGGTCTGACCTAATTAGCAAAGCCACTTCTCCAGCCAGAATTAACACCCAGCCACCAGCAGTTAATGCAGAGCAGAGCAGGAACTGAAACACCCCCCAGAAATGGCTTCTGAAGAGGGAGCACTTCAGCCACACTCCCGTTTTTTGCCGAGGTTCTCTTGCTCTCCAGGGGTGTCCCCGTGTGTTTAACCCCCGTCTCTCCCAGGGTCATTATCTGCTTTGCTAACGAGCTCCTGGAGCTTGTCAAAGAAAACAGACTCTTCCCTTCACGCCTGATGGTGTCTTGGACGAGTTTCTGCAGCCTGGAGGTAACCAGGCACTGCAGAACCCTCAACTATTGGCACTTGGGAATGCAGACACTGCCAAAACCCACAGTTACCACAGACCACCTGGAGCCTCAGGATGTGGTGGGAACACCTCAATTCCCTGCTCTGAACAATGCCAGGGCAGGTACAAGGCCTGACCCAGTGGGCTCGAGGTTCCCAAGAACAAGGACAGCTGCTGGTGACCCCCCTCAGATTTCCCCCTGTCTGGGAAATCCTGAATTAAGGAAGAGGAATAAGCATGGAGGTTTTGTTTTGACCCCTCCCAAAACACAACATGTGTGGGTGAACATTCCCTACTGCAGCAGTTGTCCTGCATTCCTGAATCCACCCCGGGCAGGAGCACCTGGGAGAGCTGAAAAGCAGAGCCTGAGGCCAGGAGCAGCTCTGGGAAGTCATTCCCAAGCAGGAATGAGGTGGAACTGTGACTCAGGACACAGGTGGAACTCTGGTTTGGCCTTGCTGGCTGCAGCTTTCAGGTGAAAAAATGCCACCAGAGCTGGTACTTGGAACCTTATCCAAGATAAAGAAAAGGTAGGATCCAGTTGCTTGGGCCTTGTAGAAGCTTCATGTTCCACAGAGCAAGAGATCTGAGAATAAAACTGTCCCTGACAGTTCCAAGGATTCCTGCGGAGCAGTGAAAAATCAGGAAGCAACACCCTGACTGCTGCTCACAACCACAAAGGGCCCCAGGCAGGAGAAGCCACCTCAGGGGGGTTCAACACCTGGAAGCAGTCCCTCTGATAATCCTTTAAGTGATGTGAGAGCAGCCCTGGCACCATCCCAGCCCAAAGGAAAACCTGCAGCTGTGGCAGCACAGGGGCAGCTCTTCCAAAAGCAGAGGAGGAAAATCATCACAGCAGCAGTGTTTTGACCAAAACGGAATTGAAAACTCAAAGACGGACTCTGGATATACACACAGGTGTGCACAGAGCCGAGCACAAAGGTTTGCTCAGCCCCACTGAAACGATTCCGAGCCCCTGGGACGTTCCTGAGAGAGATCCTATCCTGCTGCAGCTTGGATCCCAGGGAGGGTCCACGTGTGTGCCGAGGGTGAAACAGGAGTGCAAAGCCCAGGGAGAGCAGGGCAGGCAGGTGTGCAGAGAAAGATCAGCTTTCCTTCTCCCCATTTTTAATTCATGGCTTTGGGGGCCACCACCAGGTGCCTGCTTGTATCTCATTTACTGCTTTAGCTCACTTACTGTGGTGGTTTGAAACTCCCAAGAATCTAATTTTTAAGTTCAAGCCCCCCCCTCCCACAGTTTGCCCCTGTGAGAGGGTTTAGTGATGGACTTTTATTTGAAGAAGAAGAGAAATTTAATTTAATGTAAATATATATGTAGGTGTAAATAAACCTTTGTAAATATTTTCCCCTTTCCCCCAATAACGAATGGTTGTGTTTTGTCTGAAAACTCTTCACATGGGGGGAAAAAAGATATCAAGTCCATACCATCACTGAACCCTCTCACAGGGGCAAACTGTGGGAGGGAGGGCTTGAACTTAAAAATTAGATTCTTGGGAGTTTCAAACTACCACACTTACTCAATTAGTTTCTACTTCTCAAACCAGATGAAGGCACTTCACCCTCGTCGTTTCCTCTGTCCCACCAAAGGAGACGACACAGCACCACGAGTTTAAATAAACCCCAGCTCCTGGCTCTCCTGGAAGGGAGAGCGTTGCCCAGGACCCCCCCAGACCCCCGTGTGTGACTCACCAGCAGGCCAGGATGCAGAGGCCAGTGAAGAGGATGATGGGGATGGGGTAGGAGGCGCAGAGCAGCCCGTGGCTGTAGAAGGCCCCCGAGATCCTGAGGCGCAGCCGCTCCGTCAGGGTCATCCTCCCCGTCACCTCGCTGCCATCCCGGGGCACGGCGGGCACGGGAGCACCTCCCACATGGAGCACTCCTGCCTGGGGGGCAGGGGGGGCTGGGAGAGAAACAGAGAGCAAAGAGGAAAAAAAAATAAATTACTGGCTTGCTTTAGAAAGATCTTCAGAATTCAGGAAGGAATTGCTGGCTGGGAGGGTGGGGAGGCCCTGGCACAGGTTGCCCGGAGAAGCTGTGGCTGCCCCTGGATCCCTGGGAGTGTCCAAGGCCAGGTTGGACGGGGCTTGGAGCAACCTGGGCTGGTGGGAGGTGTCCCTGCCCGTGGTAGGGGCTGGAATTAGATGAGCTTTGAGGTTCCCCCCGAAACCCAAACCAGTCTGGAGCTCTGTGATTCTATGAAATGACAGAGCAGACCCAACCTCCCTCTCAGGACTGGACCATCCCTGTTCCATGATGAACTTGGGAACAACACAGACTTGCTGCTCCCGTGGCAAAAAAATAAATCAGTAGTGGCTCCTTGCCCAGCCTGAGCTGCCAACAGCCACTCTGGGGAGCATCGTGACACTGGGAACAACTCCCACTGACTGCAAGGAGGAAAACTTGGTATCTGCTCACTTCACCTGCTGTGAAACAGCAGCACCAGTAAGAAAACATGAAGCATTCCAAAGCTAATGATTCCCTATTACAGTTTTGGGGATTGCCTACTGAACTCTGCCACCTCTCTTGGCTTTACCCTCCGACAGAGCTGTAAGGGTGAAGGGCAGGAACTGCTCCTGCTCCAAGCCACTTCTGCAAACAGATGTTATCTAACTCAAAACAAACCCTCTGACTGCAGGACAAGTGCTGAGGAGAATCCATTCCCTTTGGCAGGACCACAAATCCCAGACAAAGTCTGCCTGGAGGCACAGGGACATTGGGATGTTCCCACCCTGCAGCACCACAGGTGGCATTTCTGGTTCACTTCAGGTGCAAGACAGGGACACACCCACAGAATCCCACAATCCCTGGGGTTGGAAAAGCCCTCCCAGCCCGTGGATCCCCCCTGTGCCCCATCCCCACCTTGTCCCCCAGCCCAGAGCACTGAGTGTCACAGCCAGGCCTTCCTGGGACACCTCCAGGGCTGGGCACTCCAAACCTCCCTGGGCAGCCCCTGCCAAGGCCTGACCACCCTTTCCAGGGAGAAATTCCTCCTGATGTCCAGTCTGAGCCTTCCTCTCCTCCTGTCCCTTGTTCCCTGGGAGCAGAGCCCGACCCCCCTGGCTCCCCCCTCCTGCACATTCTCACACAACCCAAGACTGACCAGCACAAGGAACAGATGTAGAATTTCTTCTTGTAGGGGGAAAAAAAAAATCAACTCCAACTTGCTACTTTTCCCAAGACAAAAGCTTTTATCTCACTCAACAATAGTTACATGTTCCAAATTCTTTACATTTCTGCCTGAAAGACTATTAAAGCCTTCCCAGGAGCCTCCCTGCACACTGGGAGCAGGGAACCACAGCCAGGAGCAGCTCAGAGCCCACAGTGAGCTTTGAGGAAAAACTACCAAAGGCAGAAAACTCCTCCATATACAGTACACAGAATCCCGGGGTTTTAATTATATTCCACTCCTCAGTCTTCCACAAAACATTCCGGAATTCTTGGCAAAGGTGTCCTAAAACCACACAACCGGGCTAGTGAAGAGGAAGGGGGGGAAATAAGGAAAAACAAACAAATCCCTGTTCTGTAGCAATTTCTCTTGTACTTCAATACATACAATAATTTGCTCCATCATGCTGCCTAAAATCAAACTTCCAATGGGAATTTTAACCCAGCATTTTCCATCTACAACATCTACTACCCAGCTTGGTAAAGCAGGAACGGACACAACGTGTTCCCTCTGTCCCTCAAAGCCCCCCACCAATATCCCAGTGGGATCAAAACATCCAGGGCCTGACCTGCCTCTCCCCCAGGAGCAGATGGGGGACCTGAGGAGCTTTCCTGCCAAGGCTGTGTTTGGGAAGGGCAGGGGAGGTGGGAAAGGGAGAGAAGGAAGGGTTTAGTAAAACTGCAGATTTATAAAGGTCCCTGGGTGGGTCCCTGCCCAGGGAGCAGCTCGGGGTGCTCACACAGCACGTGGGCAGGGGACCAGCAGCACTGACTGCCCCTCCTGTGGGCACTGCCACGGGTCCATCCATCCCTCCATCCATCCCTCCATCCATCCATCCATCCATCCCTCCATCCCTCCATCCATCCAACACCCAGCACTGACTGCCCCTCCTGTGGGCACTGCCACAGATCCATCCATCCATCCCTCCATCCATCCCTCCATCCATCCATCCCTCCATCCATCCATCCCTCCCTCCATCCATCCATCCCTCCATCCATCCAACCCACACCCCCGCACTGACTGCCCCTCCTGTGGGCACTGCCATGGGTCCATCCATCCATCCATCCATCCCTCCATCCATCCATCCATCCATCCCTCCATCCCTCCCTCCATCCATCCCTCCATCCATCCCTCCATCCATCCATCCCTCCATCCATCCAACACCCAGCACTGACTGCCCCTCCTGTGGGCACTGCCACGGATCCATCCATCCATCCATCCATCCATCCATCCAACACCCAGCAATCCAGCACCAGCTCCTGAGGATCAGAGCAACCTTCTGCCTCCAGAGCTGCCCCAGGACAAGTGGGAGCAGCAGGATCAGCCAGAGCACTGGGAATTCACTCTGTGAATGAGGAACATCAGATGTGTGCTCCAGCTCGGATCCGGAGCCGGGAATGGAGGGTCAAACAGGACAAAGCTCATATCCATGTGCCACCTCCTTCCCAGCACACAGGATGTGCCCACAGCCCCAGGGACTGAGTTACAGGTGCTGCACACACTCCCAGGCTATTCCAGCACACACAGAGCAGAGGAATCCCTGATCCACAGCCTCCCCTCGACCTGCAAATGGTTCCAGCCTCTCCTGAGCCCTCAGCACCACGGTGATTCCACAGGAATGCTGGAACTCAGCACCACAGACACCCAAAACCATGGGAAATCAGTGTTCCTGGGGGTGCAAACAGCCAGATGTCAGATCACTCACACCAGCAAAACACCTGCATTTTCCTGCCCTTTCCTGGAGGTGGTTCAGGGCCTCGAGGTGCTCAGAGGGATCCCCGGCCTTGTCAGCTGCCACAGAGCCCCCAAATCCCACCAAGAGATCCCTCACTGTGTCAGAGGCCACAGAGCTCCCAAATCCCACCAAGGGATCCCTGACTGTGTCAGCTGCCATGGAGGTCCCAAATCCCACCAAGGGATCCCTGACTGTGTCAGCTGCCACAGAGCCCCCAAATCCCACCAAGGGATCCCTCACTGTGTCAGAGGCCACAGAGCTCCCAAATCCCACCAAGAGATCCCTCACTGTGTCAGCTGCCACGGAGCCCCCAAATCCCACCAAGGGATCCCTGACTGTGTCAGCTGCCACGGAGCCCCCAAATCCCACCAAGGGATCCCTGACTGTGTCAGCTGCCACAGAGCCCCCAAATCCCACCAAGGGATCCCTGACTGTGTCAGAGGCCACAGAGCCCCCAAATCCCACCAAGGGATCCCTCACTGTGTCAGAGGCCACAGAGCTCCCAAATCCCACCAAGAGATCCCTCACTGTGTCAGCTGCCACGGAGCCCCCAAATCCCACCAAGGGATCCCTGACTGTGTCAGCTGCCACAGAGCCCCCAAATCCCACCAAGGGATCCCTGACTGTGTCAGAGGCCACAGAGTCCCCAAATCCCACCAAGGGATCCCTGACTGTGTCAGAGGCCACAGAGTCCCCAAATCCCACCAAGGGATCCCTGACTGTGTCAGCTGCCACGGAGCCCCCAAATCCCACCAAGGGATCCCTCACTGTGTCAGCTGCCACGGAGCCCCCAAATCCCAGCAGCAGCAAAGGGGAGCGGGGAGGAGGAGAGACCTCAGGAACCCAGCTCTCCCTCTCCTCAGCAAGGGGGGGTTCTGGCCCAGCGAGGGCCAGGGATGAAACATGCCTGTGAGGACTGCAGAGGTGGGAAAACAAGAGCCATGCTGAGGACAAACCACCCTGCTGAGAACTGCTGCACAAAGGGCTCTAACAACAGGGTCCTGCTCTCCCCTCGCATTCCCAGGGGAAGAATAACGTGCGTTGTGCTGGGAGGGGACAGGGAGGTCACGGGGAACAGAACACTTCCTATGGGAAAATCCAAGCCCTGCACAGCCCCGAGGGCCGGGGTGTGCAAGGGGTTAATCCCAGCACTGCTCCGGGGTGTGCAGGGGGTTAATCCCAGCACTGCTCCGGGGTGTCCAAGGGGTTAATCCCAGCACTGCTCTGGGGTGTGCAGGGGGTTAATCCCAGCACTGCTCCGGGGTGTGCAGGGGGTTAATCCCAGCACTGCTCCGGGGTGTGCAGGGGGTTAATCCCAGCACTGCTCCGGGGTGAGCAAGGGGTTAATCCCAGCACTGCTCCAGGGTGTGCAGGGGGTTAATCCCAGCACTGCTCTGGGGTGTGCAGGGGGTTAATCCCAGCACTGCTCCGGGGTGTGCAGGGGGTTAATCCCAGCACTGCTCCGGCAGGAACCAGGCTCAGCCTGGAAGGCCCCAGTGGATTGTTCAGCACAGAAGGGTTACTTTTCATATTCAAGAAGGAGAAACTCCCCAATAAATCAGATTTCAGGCTGCGTTCCCTCCACTCCAGCTCTGTGGCTAAACCAGTGGTGAAAGTCTGAAACAGGTTTTTGAACCGGATTTGACACCCAAAATGTGCAAACTCCCTTCACTCTCACCTTTGTGCCTGTTTTCCCCCCTCGACAACATTCATTTATGTTCTGAGTTTAAAAACCCAGAGGTTGTCTGAAACAGATCCCATTTTACAAGTGGTATTTCACTCATTTTACAAGTTATTAACCACATCTTAAAATGCTTGAGCAGCAATGACAGATTCAAAGAGAACACTTCAATAATCTCTACATCCCAGATAACGTTATCTGCCCCAAAACAGGGGCTGGCATCCAAAATCAGTTTCCAAACCTGTTTTCAGGACATTTTTTGAACTTTTCTGCCACAAGAGAAGAACCTCAGCTGAACTCCTGCCTTGGAGGAGTCAT